ACAAACCTTGACACACCTTCACTATTGTTGTATACTTACCTACCTTCCTCAAGGCAAACATGATCATGATCCATTTGTGCAACAATCTGTCAAGGACGCTCGTGTGGAACTACCACGTGTCATTACACTCAGCAGCTCTTCATCTTCCGTTAATTCAGCCGACATCATCCACTAGGAAAGCAACTCCATCACGCTTACCGGATAGGTAAAACATAAAGGTGTTTGCATTCTAAACCTTTAGCAATCAAACGTGAGGTCTTTATGAGAACAAACCTGCTTGGCTTGGCCAACAGCACCCGTGTCAAACTATGAAGTCCATCGTACATCCCAGATTTCGCATTGTCGTCACCAGCCAAATCGGATCCAGGGGTCGACCTCTTCGACGACGACGACCAAAAAATATTTTTGGCTGTTTGCGACATTGAACGCCAACTTTCACACAAGGTATACAAGCCGAGCACACATTGCTCTAATAAAAACCCCACGTTTCATTGTAAAGTTTGGAGATACAGGCACTCTTTATGTTTGTAAGCGTGATAAGTATATGAAGAGTGGTCTTTGTTCATTGTCAAGTAGTGACCCCGGCGCAGAGCAAAAGATGCAGAGGGACTCTTTGTGTAACTGGGTTGGGGTGTTTGGACAGGACCATGCATGACAGGTACGCAACCCCGTTTTCAGGTCATACATTGGCAGCTAATAGCCACTTTTATCCAATCAGCATTGTTGGGTGAAATCCACGTGATGGGAATGATGCTCGTGCTCCAGCTGAGAATTTCCATGATTCAAGTAGCTTGATCCGAGCTGATTTGGTTGAGTTACGGTCGAACAAGGATTAATCAGCTGAGACATTCGATGTATGCTGATGTATGGATCGATGTCATCTCTCTTTGACCGTAGCCTAGCCAAATCAGCTCGGATCAAGATAATTGAATCATGGAAATGAATGTCTGGAGGAGAAGAATCGCTCACATGTCATAGAATGGACAACAGTGCCGATTGTGAGGAAATTGCTGTTAGCTCGCAATGTATGGGCTATTGTCAATAGTATACATTATCATCCTACCATCCTTTCCAGTTGAAGAGCCGCGAGTTATCTTTCAAAGAGGTCCTCTGCATCTTTTGCTCTGCCAGTCCACCTACTACAATGAACAAAGACCAATTTTCCATATATCATGCTTAAATACAAACATAAAAGGCTGTAGCTAGCTTGGCTACAGAAACGCGTGTTTTATTAGAGCATGCCAGAGCGAATAACAGCACCTTGTGTGAAATTTTCGCGCTCAATGTCGTGCAAACAGCCCAAAAAAAAATATTTTTTTGGTCGTCGTCGTCGAAGAGGTCGACCCTGATTCAGTCGGCTGGTAGCGACATTTGCGAACGGGATTGGGTGTTTGATCGCGAAACTTTCACACAAGGTGTGCTGCTACAAGCCGAGCCCATTGCTCTATTCAAAACCCCACGTTTCATTGTAAAGTTTGGAGATACAGGCACCTTGATGTTTGTAAGCGTGATGCTGCGGCGACAAGTGGTCTTTGTTTAATGTAAAAGTAGTATGACTATAATAGAGCAAAAGACGTGGCATCTCTTTGGTAACTCAGCTAAAAAGTCAGACTTCAGGGACAATGCATGAAAGGTACGCAACCCTCACTTTTATGTCATACATTGGCAGCTAATAGCCACTTTTGTGCATTCTCAATCTTTGTGTATTCTATTGTAGGTGGACGATGCTCCTGCTCTAGACATTCATTTCATGATTAAAGTAGGTTGATCCGAGCTGATTTGGTTGAGTTACTACACAAGGTTACATCAGTTGAGCTACATCGAGCGTGCTTTATGTCCAGAGTGATGGATTCCTTTGATCGATATTCGGGGCCAAATCAGCTCGGATCAACCTACTTTAATCATGGAATGAATGTCTGAGCAGGGGCATCGTTCCCATGCAGACCTCGCAACAATGATGATTGGATAAAAGTACGCTAGCTAGCAATTGCCGTTCCTAGAGTGCTCCACAAAGTAATTATACATTGACCCTTTCATTCATGCAAACGTAGCTGTGTTGATACAACACGACCCTCTGCATCTTTTGCTCTGCCAGGTCCACCCACTTTATACAATGTCAAAACACCTACTCCTCATATAGCATCACGCTTACAAACATAAGCAGGCTCATCTCAAAACCTTACAATGAAACGTGGGGTTTTGAATATGTTGTCGTGCTCGGCTTGGCCAACAGCACTATGAAAAGTTTGGCGTTCAATAAATGCAAACAGCCCAAAAAATATTTTTGTCGTCGTCGTCGAAGCAGGTCGTGGACCTCGGATCCAGTTTGGCTGGTGGCGACATCATACCCGATTGGCCACGATGGACTTTATAGTTTACACAAGTAAAGGCGGCTTGCCAAGCAGGTTTGTTCTCATAAAGACTCTACGTTTGATTGTAAAGTTTAGAGATACAGACACTTTATGTTTTACCTATCCAGCAAGGTTGATGCTATATGAGAAGTGATCTTTATAATGTAAATAGTATGACTATAATAGAGCAAAAGATGCAGAGGGCGTGTTTGTGTAACTTGAGTCATTCACCACAGGCGATGCATGATACTTGTACACTAATTAGGAATTGTTCAAAATGCCAGCTAATAGCCCATTACTCCCATTCACCTTTGTTGACCAATCCAATGCATACGAACGATTGTCTTGCTCCAGCCCAGCATGACCATCCTTCAACTTTGTTGATCCGAGAGGATTTGACTGAAAAACGCTCAAACACAGAAGTATCATCCAAAATCAGAAAAATTTATCTGGTTAGTTATAAGTAAACTGCCACTTGATAGCCCATTCCTCCCAATCATCTTTGTTTCCCAATCCAATGCATGTGAACGATTCTCCTGCTCCAGCCCAGCATTTCCATCATTGAACTTTCTTGATCCGAGAGGATTTGGTTGAGTTACGCTCAAACACAAAACATCATTTTGCAAAGTTATTTGTAAACTGCCACTTGATAGCCCATTCCTCCCATTCATCTTTGTTGTCCAATCCAATGCATACAAGCGATTGCCCAGCTCCAGCCATTCATTTCAATACTTCAACTTTCTTGGTTCGATGGGATTTGAATGAGCAACGCTCAAGCACAGAAACATCATCATAAGTATCAGAACAATCAAGTTAATTTCCACTTCTTCCACTCCCACTTTATTTCCTCTTCCTCCCATTCTCAACTGTTGCCCCATTCAAGTACAACTACCACCTGCGAACGATTGTCCCGCTTCAACCCATCATGTCAATGCGACGAATGTCTTGAACCGATTGTCTTTGGCTGAATGGCAAGTCCATGGCGTATACACCCCACTACAGCACGCTCGTTTCTTGATACTAGGCCTTCTCTTGTGCACTCCTCTACCAATACCAAGCGTAACAGCATTCATTGCAGCAATTGCTATCAGCAAGGCCTTTACTCCATCGTCTCAAACAGCGTTCTTTACTTGCAGCAACTCGTCTTGCAGCCTTGTTTACGTGAACAGCGAATTAGCCACCATACAGAAGCAGCTTTATTTACGTGCATCAGCTTGCATCAATACAAACGAATGTGTATCGATATGGATCTGAATATTGCTTTGGTACATGGGATGAAAAGGATTGGATTACACAACGCGTGGTAAAAGGGGCTTATGTATTCATTGTCAACTTGACCTTGATGCTATCACCCTGGACGATTTCATGTTCTACATGCTCTTCCATGCCAATCGCAATCATCATCTTTTGTGCAGCCCGTCAACCATGTACAGCTGTCATCATCCAACAACTACATATTTGACACGCCATAAATACATTTCGCACCTCATGTCCATCGGTTCACCTTTAGAAAGTGCACGCCCAAATGATAGCATTGCCAAATCGAAGCGCCTTCTCCATTAGAGTAATTCATTGTACATCTCAGTCTAGTGCCCCATTCTTCCTCTTGTGAATGATCTTGGATTAAAAGGATACCTTAGCAAACATGAGATTACGTTAGTCTACAGGACCTTCCTTCTTGCTGAGTTGGATCTCGTCGTGTGTGGCAATTGATGCATTGTATTATAGAAGGTTTATGCATGATGGTAAAAGTATACATACCCACTTGTAGATGCTGTGATAAAGGAAAAAGAGAGGGAGAGAAAGGGACTGATCGATTCGTTGCGTCTAGAACAACGGCTGTATTCAATTGTGATTTGATCTTGTAAGACAGCGTACGTTATTAGCTCACGGCAGGAGATGTCCTAAATAAAATAGTAGAACGTGCACCCATCTTATGGATCATGTATCTGGTCAGTGAGTACTTGCCGTTCCAATATGTATTGGATCTGCCAATGCGTTAATTAAAGGAGGCTTGCCGATTGCCCATAACGGTATCAAGGATGATGGAAAAATACTTGACTAAATTTTCTTACATTGTATGGATGAAGCCAGTGAAACGTGAATACAAAGGTGAAGCTCATATTGCATGGTTCTTGTTATCACCGACTTGACAACAATGCAACATGGACCCAGCTCGATCTATTTTTGATTGCATGATTATGAAGACAAAACATGTCAAACATCTTCGAAACAATGATGTTACTGTATTAGCTCAAAAACGAGACATGTGGATATCTAGCGTCTTTACGCAGCAAACTAACAATGATGCTATTTATGTCAACGAGTGGAAACGGATAGAAAAACTTGCTTGATGACAGGGGGAGGGGTTCAGAATTTGACCGAGGTGGTGGGGTTATGAAAATCGCCCCGCACGCGGTTGTTTTGCCACCGTGGTCACTGCTCTCAGTAACATGGGCGCAATTGTGGATTATATAAGAGGTCGTCTGCTGCATAATCGGAGGTCGGGTTTCGCAAAGTTTTCCTTTGATATTCCATGCAGCTGGGTGTATTCGGGTGATAACGCAGCTGTGTATATTTATACGCGCTCTGATACACATTGACTTGGTCCCACCAAACAAACATTTTTTTTCTTTCTCTTCGATCACCATGACAACCTTTGCCAAAATACCCAAAGACACCAACGATGTTACAATCGAGCTACGAATCGATCCACTTTTCACAGGCGTGGTACATGGCCATAGTCATGATGTATCAGAAGGCTGTACGCTCAAGGGCATTTGCGTACTACATGTGCACAGGCCTATACATACTCGTAAACTCGTCATTTCGCTTGAAGGACGCTGCAAGATTAATGTACGATCCACCACCAGCATGGCAACACCATCACCAGAAGGCATCGAATGTCGATCATTGATCAACAAAATCAAAAACGTTGACTGTGAATACTTTGATCATGGTGAATACGCATACCCTTTTGAATTTGAACTTCCTGCAACATTACCGGCATCATTTCGCGGCAAGAATGGCTATATTCGATATCGTTTGGAAGCTGTTTTACATCGCCGACGACGATCCTCTGTCATGCATCGCCTTGTACGTGTATCTCGAGATATTTGCATTCGACGTTGCTTGTTGAGTGATGCCATGCAGCATTCAGTGTACGATACCATTCATGGCCATGAGCATAGCGACAAGTTGTCATACAGCGCTAATGCACCTACCATGGTTTATCGTGAAGGTGGCCTTGTCCCTCTCACTCTTACGATTGAGCTCACTCATCCTGGAACGCAAATTGTGCGCTCCGTCACTTGTGCCTTGCGAGAACGTATCCTTTATCAAACCACCGGCCAACAATCGCTCACATGTCAATCGGTCTCGAAAACAGATGATTTGTTTCCACTTGGATGGAGTACTTTTTATCCTTCAGAGAATCCAAAGTATAATCCAAATCACAAGCATGAGTATAATGCTGTATTCAGAATATGCCCACGCGTCAATGCAGATATCAATACACGCCTCATAAGGGTTACACATGCACTTGTTGTCAATATTATGGTGCAACAAGACAACAATGAACACCTACCATCAACAGCACCACCATCTCCTCATCAACTTGATTCGGATACGCTATCTGCATCGGCCCAACCACTGCCATCACCACCATCAACTCCTCAAAATCATGGTTTGATTCGATCATCATCATCATCGTCGCTGCGTTCTCTCTCAGAGGATCTTGTCAAGGAAGCTGCTAGTGCACTATCATCCATCACACGTCGCAATAGTCATTCAAGCTTGAGCCATGATCAGCAGTCGAAGAAAATGTATTCATGTACTCTTGAGTGTCCATTGATAGTCACTTGCAGAGAACACTATTGGGAAGGTGAACGACCTCATCCACCAGCGTATCAGGACACTGAAGCACCACCATCATATGGCCTAGCAGTGGAACAACTTCCTCCTGTACCATGCTATGATTAATCAATACTGTATTTGTTCTTTTTGTATATGTAGTACATAGTAGTATTTATGACTTGATGGTTTATTATAAAAGTGCATAGCACAATGAATATTCCTATATCCTAGATTGCTTCTTTTCTTTGTTACAGTGATTGGACAAGACGATGAGCGTGGCTGTGTGGTTAATGATGGCTCAGCGGGTGTGATTGCTGCGCACCTTGTCTACCGATAAAAGCACACGGTCACGGATCAGGGCCGCCTATCTGGAACCTTCTCTTTCTTCCTCTTGAATCTGACAATGAGCGACACCAGCGATTTGTTTGCCAAGGCCAACGATGCCTACTTTGACGACGATTATGACGAGGCCCTTTCCTTGTATTCGCAGACCATCGAAGCCGATGCTACTCATGCCGAAGCATTTATGCGACGGTAAGTTTTCAACGTTCATGGTATTACGCGTGTGCTCATTTCATGGTCATTAGCTGCACCGTATATCAAAAGCTGAACCAGTTGGATAAGGCTCTTGCTGATGCTGACAAGGCTTTGGAGATCTTGAATGGACCCAAGGGGACACGTAGTCTGTTAGCACGAGCTCACTTGCAACGAGGGTATGTAATGATGAAATGATGCAATTCTTGAGAGATCACATGAGCTTATTGCATGTTATGGATTAGCATTGTTCAATTCAATCTCAAACAATATCCTGAAGCACAAAAGTCATTTGAGTCTGCCAAGGAATTGAATCCAAATGAACGTACTTTGGCTACTTGGTTGCGAAAGGTCCAAGATGTTCTTCCTCCTCCACCACCACCTCCTGCACCCAAACAAGAAGAGCAGCCTGCTCCTGCAGTACAAGCACCAGCTCCTTCCACGCCTCAGAATGTTCGCGCTAGGTAAGAAAATGGGGATCATTGTGGATGAGGCAATAGGCTCATGGATGAAAATATAGACATGAGTGGTTCCAAAATGATACCTTTGTCACTGTGGAAGTCTTTATAAAAAAGGTCAACAAAGATGACGTTTCTCTCGATTTCTTTGATCGTTCGGTAAGCTGAAAATCAGGAATGACAATGAGGTAGCATACAATGACATGTATTATTCGTCTTTAGTTGTCATTGTCAATCAAGATGCCTACTGGCTCCACATTCTCCTTGGAACTTGATCCATTGGCTCATGAAGTCTTGCCCAAGGAATGCAGCTACAAGGTCTTGTCCACCAAGATTGAAATCAAGCTGAAGAAGAAGACTGAAGGGATCAAGTGGGGTACATTGGAAGGCGAGGATGAATTGCCAACTACCAGTACGTGTGAACTATCATTGGATTCTTGTTTTCGATATTAACCTCATCCATCTTTGATTAGTGGCATCCACCAGTGTTTCGAGTTCTCGTAAGCCCAAGGATTGGAACAAGCTTGTGCAAGAGATTGAAAAGGATCAGGATAAGCCTGAAGGTGATGCTGCTCTCAACTCGCTATTCCAACAAATCTACAGTGGTGCCGATGAAGATACTCGCCGAGCCATGATGAAGAGCTTTGTGGAAAGTAATGGTACTTGCTTGTCGACCAATTGGGCCGAAGTTGGATCCAAGAAAGTGGAGACCAAGCCTCCAGAGGGAATGGTTGCAAAGAAGGTATGTAATCCATGCATCGGATCGGAAAGCTGAGAGGGGAGTGGAAATCGTGTGAGAGATCGGGAGGGTAGCGAAACAACAATGACACTCACAAAACACCATTGTAAATATAGTATGAAATCTAAATTACCTATTTTACTATTGCTGTACACCCATACACACACGCCTATACAATGTTCACCATGACAACCACCACCACCATTCTTCATTATTGCACACATCATCATGATAATACCAAAATGCTTCTTGCTCAGTTAATTTGTTTCATCCTTGTTACACGTTTATCCCTTGTGCTTCGAATGTTAGTGGGACAATTTGACATGCAGCTGTACAACAAGCATGCATTGACAGCCAGAAGCAACACTGAGAAGCATTCCCCCTTATGCAATGCGGGTGGGAGGCAATAGAGGGTGGGGGCGTTCTTTAGAGTCTAAACGAGAAAAGGTACCCGAGTATATGCATTTCTCATGGTGAATAAATAATTTCACTGTATTGTTTTTATCCGTCAGCCCGGGTGCTTACGCTTGCTGCGTATCTCTCACTGTTTAACTCCTTAAGACTACACCATTTAAAGCACAGCAAATGCTGTGCCTCTCTCTTTTATTGCTTTCTTTCTCTTTTCTCTCTCAAATACTGGAAAAAGGATGCTTCGCGTATCTTCACTAATTTACTTGCAACAAGTCTGGGAGCGTCAACCATCCGAGGACAATAACAAGAATGTGATAAAGGCTATCTCCACGGATACCAGTACAACTGCTGCCATCCAATCATTCCCATCACCACCACAAACGCCCATTATTAATACTGCTACGGATGCCGCGCCACTATTGTCATCACCGACACATGTTGGTGCAACCGATGTGCAGCAACAACCATCATCGTCAGCATCCGCTGGGGGAAATCTTTCATCACAAACCAAAGGTATGTTATAGTGTGTGCACTTGCATGATGCCCAATTGTAATTTTTTTGACACGGACACTGTTAAAGATACGACGATGACCTTGAGCAAAGTCAACATAAACAATGATGGCCGTTCAGCTGACCACAAAATTAAGGAGAGGGAGAATGACGGTATTGTGATGGAAGGATCGAATGGATCTCAGGATCAAACAAGACAACAGGCAAAGGATGAATGTAACAATTCAAAGCCAACAGCAACAGCAATGGGCACAAATGATGATGTTATTAGTACGTCGTCTCCTACTGAGGGTGATAGTGGCGTTGGTGCATCTGCAGGTCGCACGATGGGCAGTTATCACTTTTACTACGATAACGATCAGGAGGAGGAAGCTGAAGGGGATAACATTGTCTCAATGGCTAGTAATTCATCAGGAGGAACGACTTCTATGCCGCCAACACCTACATCGTTACCAGCACAAAAGCAACACCAGCACCATTTGCCACCTCCACCCCCACCTCCTGAAGAACCTGCTGAAGAGCAAAAAGGTCTCCGTCGTCAAGCATCAAGATTGACACTCAAAAGACGCAGCCTGACCAAAAAGCTCAAAAAGGCCGTATCCTTCCACAAGCTTGGTAACAAACGCGATAGTGTAGTGATGTAAGAAAATTAACATGTGCGTGTGTTTGTGTTTGGATTATGCCCATCACCCCATGTTGTATTTTTACTCTCCACAATTGCTTCTTTATTGTTTATCCCTCCACACAAACACAAATACTACGCACACATACACACCATCCTTTGCCTTTCACTCTTACTCATCCACCCCCATTGACATCATGACATCAGTAATATATCAATCATTCCATATCCATCATCATCATTATTTACACATGAAAAAAGGTTGTTCTATATATAACTATGTACTTTTGATGCCGTTGGGTGATGTTGTTATGTGCGCTTGAGATCCTCGAGTCGCTCCTTGAGTCGATCATACATCACAGTGTCTTCAAATACATCTTTGCCCTTGCCCATAATACTCTTGAGAATTTGACGGGATTGATAACGCCAATCAGCACATACGGGGGCACCATCTTGTTCTTTTTCACCCAAAGTCTCATACATGTCGACGGTATCCAGGGCAACCTGAGCCACGCGATCAAAGACTTGTTGATCCGTTTCAATGCTAGCATCATGCATGACGGTGCGATATCCTTTGACTGAAGCTTCAAGTGCATCGACGTAACGCTGCTGCCAAATGTAAAACTTTGCAGTGATGCCCCAAAGTTCGGGTGAACCGGTAATGCGAGTGAGGATAACATCTTCAAGTAAACGCTGCACGTGGCGTGCGAGACGAGCACCATCACGATCAAAAGGATCCTTCCAATTCTGGACAACGTTCTCAACCAACATGTGCAGCACTTGTTTGTCGACAGCTTCTTCACGCACTTTGTCCCATCTCAATTCAACGACTCGTTGCATAGCCCAAATAGCATCAGCGAATTGACCCACGTCCACAGCCACCACGAGCAAGTTTTGCCACATACGCCAATTGTCAAACTTGAGCTTGGTTGCTTGCTTGAGTGCCAAGAATGCATCCGTTTTGCGATCCATTTGTACATAAATGCTCGACAAGTTGTTCCATGCTTCAGCTTGTTCGTGATCAAGTGATACTACACGCTGGAAAGCACGTGCAGCCACATCCCATGAATCCACTTGCATGGCAGCACAACCAAGAATATACCACGATCCTTCAAACAATGGGTTGATCTCGAGAGCATGTTGATAGCATTCAATGGCTTCATTGTACTCTTGTCGTCGGTAATGATACGCACCCAAAGATCGCATTGCACGTGCAAAACGCTTGTTGGAGATGTCCCATGCCTTACGCCAGTGATCGGGGTTACGCTCAACATCACCAAGGATACACCAAAGCTTTGGAGAATTGGGATCATCCTTCATCAAGCGAGAAAGCACATCCTTAGCCTTGTGAGACTCTTCAAGCATCTGATAGCAGGCGATGGCCTCTTCCCACATTTCCAATCGTTCAAAGATCTCCAATGCACTCTTGACGACACCCAAAGAAACGAACCGCTTCGCCAATTCACGCTCCATATCCCACTTGCTAGGTAACAGCAACTCGTAAAAGTAGGCAAGACGTTCCTCAACACTTGAATCTTCGACCTTGATTTGATCCACCAAAGCCTGTAACTGCAACAATGAACGCTCCACAGTACGACTCTTGTGTGCTTCCAAACGTGTCTTGAGCAGCAAACCCATGGTGTGGACCATCCAGTTGTTGGCATTCTCGAGCACACGGGTGACATAGGGTGCCATCTCTTCACTCGTAAGACCATGCTCTGGGTTTGTATTCTTGACATTCAAACAAAATGCGAGCAATAAACATTGATCAATGACTTGAAGGTTGCCACGACGTTTGGCTTCATCACGTTCATTCTTTTCATTCTTGGTAAAAGCAACTTGATCCAACAATGTATCATCTTCCAAAGCAACGGTCTCAGGTCGTACTCGATCCTCATCCTCCTCATCCTTATCATCCTTCTTGTCGTCTTGTTTCAGAGCAGCATCGTCATTCTTGCTTTCAGCAAGCAACACCAATTGAGATACATCAAATGTCTGGAACTTGGTACGACGACCAAGAGCACCGGTAAGCTCCCATTGAAATCCAGATGTCTTTTGGGCTTGTTGCATCATATTGCAGGCTTCCTTATCAAGTCCATAATAGCTTTCAACCAATGCCACATCCAATTGTTGACGTACACGAAGTGAATCACGTTCAAATCCACTGCTTTCCTTGGCGAGTTCCTCCAACAACAAAGATTGCAAAGTGCCTGTTGGGTTGTCGAGTAGTTGTTGTTGTAAAAAGACGGCACGCATGGCCCATAAAGCCACTTCTGGTTGTGGATGTTGTTTCCTCACTGCCAATAGTAATTCTCGTGCAATCAACAATAAACCCAAGCGTTCTGTCAAATGATAAACTGGTTCGCTATCCACTGAAAGTACACCAAGACAATGTTGATGAATGCGATCATCCACCTGCTTATCGGCCACATCGCTTGACAATACAACTTGGCTCACGCTCCAATCCAAAAGTGGACCCGTCCAATTGGTTTGTACAAACGCGTTCAGTGCTGCAATACCCGTTGCCAATATCAAGAAACGAGTCTCGCTATTATCCATATCCAGAGTCGATAATCGTGCATGGATCCAACTTGTCAAATCGCCCGTCGATATCAGTCCTTCATTGTCATTGCTGCTGCTGGAGGTGAAGAGTGGACTACGTTCGCGCAACACTTTGGTATATTGACCTTGCAAAATGTCGTCGGTAGTGGATGCAATGGCCTCTGAAAACGATGTAGCAGTCGTGTCGAGCTTTTCATTGAGAATGAGAGCCTGTGCGGCTAATGCAAAATCGGTCATGGCGTCGTGCTGCTTGCTGCTGTTGGTGGAAAAGGTGGCTACGATGGGTGTTGAAGAAAAAATCTCACTTTTGGGCGGAGGTAATCGAACAAGCGTTGTGGATTGTTCTCGCAAATGCTACCAAGCAACCAATGCTTAGTAATTCTCGACGTTGAGTACTTTGCCATGGCAACATTGTCTATGTGAGTATACAGGAGTCCACAGGTCATCTAACGCCACATGCAACTGATCTCTGCTTTTAAACAGGTTAAAAGAGACATGCATTACCAGTGGTGCAGATGATGATGATGCATTTAATGGGACGACGTGCCATATGTATATACATACTCCTGCTGTACGACCACCGACATCTTCTTACACACAAGGAAAGTTCAATGTCAATACGCCACAAGGCAATCTTCCATGATCACGGATGGCTTCATGCATATCAAATCAATACCAATCATCCATCCACACGCCCTCTCACACCCACGCACACACATGCATTGCTGCCTTGTTCGGGAGAAAGGACTTAGCACATCAAAGATAGTAGTATAATGATAAAAGCGTAATACATAAATGATACGTACATCCCATTGACCTTTATAGCAATGATTGAGTGGAGTAACTATACATACCAATTGCCAAGAATGGTGAATAGAAATTGGAGAGGAAAGAGTGGTAGCAGAGAGGTATTGGATGATCTCATTTCGTGGGCGCTTTAGCAAGAACCAAGTCATTGATGACATGCATGCAATGTGCCTGGTAGAAAGATGATGATGATGATGAATACAAGGCATGTTTGTTTGTCTATTACATGCAGTGAGGCTAGGCCCTGGGCAAACATCAGCACGACGACATATGAGTCCTTCGCAGCAGATTACATAAAATTAAGGGGGTGATTAGCAAAAAAGAAAATGATACTCACACACGTATGTAGATATCCTGTTACTGTTTCATTTTCCATCATTATCAGCGGAATAATGCTGATATTACAGTTAAGTTTGTTTGCACATCACACCCCATGACAAAATACAAAGCATCCTTACATCGAGTAAAGGGCGGGTTAAGCAATGCAAACATATGCTGGAAGGAAGGAGACTTCACTGCACATGTGCATTTGTTAAGCGTCAAATCGTGTGCGTGTCTCTCTCTCACTCTTTCAATGTAGTTTTTTGATGAATGCAGTTGGCAAGGGAACAAGCGCCCTATTCCATCCACACACACACACCATTCAATGCAGGATCGCTGCATATGTCACCATCCACACACACACACACACACACACACACACACACACATTTACAGGCCGTCTCATCGTCTTGCTTCATTTACCACAACAAGACGCACGTACCCACATTTTTTGCAGCTGTACTTGTTGGTGGGATTTAACGTTTTGCATCGTTTCTTTTCTCACTTTTCTCACTCGTCCCTCTTTTTCCCTCTCTCCTCTCTCATTCTCACTCACATACAGCACACGTTTTGTGATTTTCCTCTTCCTCCTCCTTTATTCACTCATATCCACCTTCGTTCATCACGCTCTTTTATAACCAACCCAATCCTCATTCCTTCTTGTTCTTTCTCCCAAATCATTTTGCATTGAAATGAACACCACAGTCGATAGCACCAAGTTCTTCCTTGGAAACGAAGACTACCTTACACAACCCTATTCCGTAACAACCCCTTCTTCCTTCACAGGCATCACCACAAAGGTTGAGACGTTTCCCGATACGCCTGTCATCTACAACCATCAATGTAAGATATTGAAATCATCGAGCAACGCATTATTTTGACCTAGATACACGCGTGTATTTATAGCAGATGATGAATCGTTTTATGTTGGGTATCAGGAACAAGGAAGCAGTAGCTTTGAAGACGCGACAAATGGCGACGTTTATTTTCAACCACAGCATCATCTTGCTCCTCCACCATCTAGTAGTAGCAATAACAGCAGCTTGAATACTCCTTGTTCGTCATCATCAATATCTTCGGATATGGCTGCCGTAGTAGTTGCATCAGCGGCACCTGTGGCAAGCAACGTCATGGCAAACTCAGTGATGGAAGCAACAGGAGGAGCAACCCCCATTGCTGCTGTAGCTGCTGGTGAGCAACAACTGTGCCAGCAGCCCGACACGCCGATCTCATGCTGCACTTCCCCTGCACCTTTACCTACAACCAGTGGTGCCACTACTAACACAGCAAGTCCTTCACCCATTACTCCTGTATATCCATCCTCGGATTTTTTACAGTTTGCTAAGGATACCGTGCCTTTTGACCATCATCAACAACCTATGCTCGTTCAACCCAATAATAATAATAGCACCACAACTGCTGCTGTTGCAGACCAACAGCGTGTCTCAAGTAGTCCCACTCATGGCAGCAAACGACGTCATCCTGATGAGCAACAAGATGATGAAGATATCGAGGATCCATCGTATGTTGATTTGCTCTATATGCATCTCTTTCTCTTTTCCCCCCTTGATCCCTCAACTTAAAACTGACAAGTTTCTCGAATAGATCCGCCCCAGCATCTGCAGTTTCCAATAGCGAGCTGCGACGGCAAATTCATATCCAATCCGAGCAAAAACGCCGTGCCCAAATCAAAGATGGCTTTGAAGACTTACGGAATGAATTGCCGAGTTGCCTTAACAAAAAAATGAGCAAGGTCGCTTTATTACATCGAAGTACGTAATCCGATCCTGCAGCTGTTTGCTCTCTCTCGCTCTCTTCTCCCCCCATTGTGTTGACATTTTTTCCCCTTTTCTTTGTCACAGCGGTGCAGCACATACAGCATCTCAAGAATACACAAATGACAATACTTGCAGAGTTGGAGCGGCTGGTGAATGAAAATGAACAGCTGCGAAAGTAAGTTTTGTGCATCATCAACATCCTTGTCAACGTCACATGACTAATGTTGTTATTATGTAGATTCCAGCAATGTGTATTGCAAAAGCAAGCTCTCGAGAAAATGTACCAGGTCAATAATCTATAATAGCCCATTGCTCATTTATTTTACCGGCGTTATCCATATCCTTATGTTTTTTCGTTTTCTCTTTCTTTCTCTTCTTCCCCTTTTATGTATGTACGTCCTTTTCCCCCAACATCCCTTCACACTTAATGGTGCAATACCTATCTCTCTATATACCACGATCCCCCATCCAACCTAACCCCGGAATCCAACGCTATACTAATTTCACCTTGTTCCGCTTTCCATATTTCCACACACACACACACACACACACACACATACACACCTCCTTTTGTATATGCGTATTAAACTATGCTTTCCTTTTTTCGTCTCCATTTCCCATTGATGATGACGATGATGGTGGTGGTTGAAGAAAAATCGTTTATATATATAACTTTGATCGATCTCCATTATGCACGTTCAGCGTGTTGCTTGACGAATTGCTCGACTTGGGCACCGTTACGCATACCAATGAATTGATCGACGATTTCACCATTTTGGAAAGCAGCCACTGTGGGCAAAGCAGCAATCTAGATCCAATCAACCCTTGGTTAATGCATGAAACAAGCAAGACACCCTCCTTTTTCTTCATTACCTTGAACTTGGCAGCCAACTCGTTAGCCTCATCCACATTGAGCTTGACAAGAGTGACCTTGGGATTAGCAGCGACAGACTTTTCAAGCAAAGGACCAAGCATCTTGCAAGGACCACACCATCTAAAATGATCCGCTTAGTAATAGCCCTCAGAGTCGTCTATCCCATTTATCCTTCTTCTTACTCGGCATAAAAGTCGACAATCACAGGGTGATCAGCCTTGTCGACAAGTTTGGCAAATGAGTCGCTGGTTGCTTCAACAGTTTTGCCAGTAAAGCGAGGTTGGCCAGCATGGAACATGCGTTGAGCACCAAGGACTAATCGATGCGATCAATACAATGTCGTTGTTTTCTATTGTTGACTGTGTCTTACGTCTAGCAGATTGTTGAGTAGGACGAGCAAGTGTACGCAAGGCGTTCATGATATGAATAAATAGGTTGAATAAAGAAACGAGACAATGACACACACACACACATAGCGCGTTTTGCAAGGATGAATTGAAAGAAAGCGGCAACTCCGCAACAACTTTTACTATAATAGCGCTGTATATAATCAAGTTACAAAACACTGCCTTGAGCCAAAGAGAGCAACATGGGATCATCAAAGTACTTGTTTATGCTGACATCCTCAGAGAGACCCTACAATCATTGTTAATAAACATCCCTTTTCCTATCATCCAAGAATTTACCTTTCGTCTTCTCGTCTTGACCATAAAGTCTCTAGCAAGATGTTGTGCAGGGCTTGGTTCAAGAGGTCTCAGCACAATGCTATTATCGAGTGGATCACCTGGTACAATTTGCCAATGGTCAAATATCTGCTGGCAGAAAGCTTGACCCTGGGTATGTGTCCGCAAATCAGTCTCAAAACCACAAGAGTCAATGACAGGAATGTAAGCCTTGACAGTGTATAATGGCGAGCCAGGTTTTGGGATATCTTGTGTGACATGTCCTCTGTATATAATTCCCATCGATCAGATACATTCCCTTATACACATCCAAGAATCCAATTACCTTCGCCTTTGCAGCACGGCGTATACGGCTGTGACACAGTCTGCAGGTGATTGAATCTCCACATAATTTACAGGTTCCATAAGACGAGGAGTAGCCTATCAAATACGATCAATATCCTGATCTTCGTTAAGTATATGTAATTGACGTACCGTTAAGAAAGATGAATAGCACACACGACGTGATGTAGGAATGATTTGACCACCACCTCTATATATCGGCTCATTGGCAAGCACAGTATCTAAGACTCGGAACTTGACATTCCGAATGGCTGCAAATGTACAACATCATGCATGAATGAACCCTGTTTTGTTATGCATCAACTATCACTTACGTTCATCACAGAGCGGTCCTTCCCGAGTACCCCACTGGAAACCTTGTTTGATAGAATCCTTGACAGAGTAAAGAAGCTTCTTGTCCACTTCAGAGGGTAATGTATCATCCACAAGAATGTTGGGCCCCATATCATCAGGACCGAACGCCCATATTGATCGTGCAGCCAAGACATCCCATCCATATTTATCTTGCATAAAGCTGCCCAATTGCTTGGCTGGCCAATTGATGCTGATGTTGCCCGTCTCGATATCTTCTGCAAGACCCTTCTCTAAAGGTTCGGCGATAAAGGTCAACTTGTTCCTATGTTGCGATAAAAAAAAAGTCATTAGTAAGATATACGCACGTCATCTACACATTGCTTACTTTTTGTTTGGTGTTTCGGCAAAGCATTTCAATGCTGAAGTCTCAACCACGGTCTCACAGAAGCGAACAACAGGATCAGCCACCTTGATTTCGATTTCGGCGTACATTCGGCGCAAGTCATGCAATACGCAATCCAAATAAAGTTCACCAGTACCAAGCAAAATGTGTTCACCCGATTCCTCAACCTAACCAATCGTATTAGCTACTTGTGCCGATCACCATGCATATTTTTTGGTCCTAGGTACCTTGGTTGTTACGATAGGATAACTCTTGTTGATTCTCCGCAGGCCATCCAACATCTTTGGTAATTCAGATGGGTTCATGGGTTCAATAGCCACCTTGAGCGTAGCAGCAGTAGGGAATCGAAGAGGTCTGAAAATATACGCATCTTCACGCCATTTTTGTTGCACAATGGTTGCCGTCTTGACAATGGAGCTATCCACACCACCAAGCAAGACCCAGTTTCCTGCAGGTACGCCTTCCACCTCGACACGATACCTTTTAGGACATGGATCAATATTCATGACATGTATTTGTGTATATAGCCATTTGACTCACCGTGCTTCAAACACCCAAGCTGCAGTCACCTTTTGCATTGCCATATCTTCTTCATCATCGACACTATAGCCTTCACCAAGTACTCGAACGATTTGGCCATTCTTGACAGTACCACTCATCACTCGACCAAATGCATCAAAGCCTGTAGCCTCCTCGTTGTCATAGAGCTTAGTGATGTGGATCACAAGCGGGCCTTCAGCATCACAATTTTTCATTGCCTCGCCAACTTCGGTATCCAATGGGCCTGTGTAAATGTTTGCAATCTTGTGCTCAGCATTTTGTGCAGGGGATGGGATATGCTGAACAGCCATGTCAACAAAGCCAACAGGAGGACCAAAGAATTGAGCAAGCACCACACGCAATAAAGGCTTGACATTCAATCCATATTCCTTTTCCTTGAGGTGAATACCAAGTGATCGCAACGTCTTTTTCAATTCTGAAACATCTTCACCAATGATCTACATATACACGCCAACGATTAATATCACTCCCCCAAGATCATGGATCTGTATGTTTACCTGAGAATACAACTTGTAAAGAGGTTCAAGAATGAAATGGACAAATGTACGCTTGCTATCACGACCTTGAGACGAGCGGTGGAAAGAGCCCTTTTCAGGGTTGAAAAAGATTTCACCCCAAAGACGCTTGGCAAATTGCTCCGTATCGAATTCGGCCTCGTAAGAATCAGAGTAGAGCTGAGCAAATGATTTGAGAGAGAAACACCATCCTGTTTGACTAGAAGCAAAGCACACATTGCCCAACTCAGGTGAAAGGCGAATGTTCTCACCACCAGCAGTAGATCTAATATCCATTCATAACCATGAGTCATCCTCTTACACGCACACTTTTGAACACAAAGACTTACCGGATCACGGTGTTCACTTCCTCGATAACATGGCGCAACTTGAAATAGGCATCGGTAGGAGGGAGCTTCAATTCGAGCATCAAACGATCCACCTTGTTGATAACCAATGTCATTGCAAGCTTTTCTCGAATACAGTGCTTGATAATTTGCTCCGTGTTGACCATCATCTAAATACCAAATCATGTTAATGGCCTTCATCACGTGATTCTACAACTGAATCCACACTTACACCCTCGACGACATCCACAACGAGAACGACACCATCAGCAAGACGTGTGGCAGCCACAACCTCATCGATATAATCGGTGTGACCTGAAATAAGACCCCAAGTCAGTCCCAGCTTATACCCATCATTGTATTGTTCCCCATCTTACCTGGTGTATCCATCACATTCAAAAGATAAGACTTATCATTCAAATCCTGCATAACCATTGTCATGGGCATGCTCTTGATACTGAGGCCGCGTTCACGTTCCAGCGTGTGAGTATCAGTGTATCGTTCCTATTGACAATATCAGCCTTGATTCTTTCACATAGGTAAGAAAGATATGCATACCGGTTGATCAACATTCACTGGGACATCGTGTGTTTCGGAGACGAGCATATCAACAAAGGAGGTTTTTCCATGGTGAAGATGACCGACAATAGCAATGTTGCGAGTGAGATCAGGGAAGTTCATCATATCCGTCATGAACCTAATAATACGTAATGAGATGATGATGACGCTCTATTGTTCATCCTCACAACTTACTCTTTGCTAAATCGAGTGTCTGGAAGATCTTTCTCGGTAACAAGGAATTTGCGAACCTTGACAGGTGCAATGATGGGTTCAGATAGTGGTTGCGTATCCTCTTCTTGCACCATTGCTTCGACACCAGGACCATACACTTCTTCAGCCGATGGGTAGTATTGCTTATCTTCATGGAGCACAATTTGATTCTGTGGAATATCTTTATATACATGGTTCGTATGAGTAACAAGGGAGGATACACGTTGCCATGGGACATTGGACACTTACCATCCACCTGCATCAAAGCCCCTTCGTTCACTGGCTCCAATGGTTCTTCTTGAGCAGCAGGTGATGCCGTCTCGAAGCCGCGAATCTCTTGCTCTTCTTCCTCCTCTTCTTGCTCTAATTCCAGATCCTCGTCTTCATCTTCAAGATCGGGGCCAATGTAGTTGCCAAACTCGTCATAGAGCGATTCATCCATAGTGTTGCAAAGGTAAAAGGGTAATGATCTGCCCACGTCTCGAAAAAAGAAAGCTGAAAGAGGTGTTTTCTAAAGCGGTGAGCGCGTACTTTGGAAACGATCGCTAATCCAATGCTCACACTTACACACATAGACATATCACACACAGTCACGAGTCCCTCGCTCTTTAAACCTCCCACCCACTATGCCCACCCATTCCCGCCGCTTTATCAGTATCCATGGCAACCCCCAATGGTGCAAGCTACTAGATAGTGTATGCTAGCATAGAATCGAGCGCCATAATCCTAGAAAAGCTGCTTCTTGTATTATAAAAACCATGATCATGGTACTTGCGTCGTCAAGGAATAAGCTTAAAAACGCATTGATGCTTGATGTAATTGAAGTTTCACGATGATGAGATCCATTGATGACCACTGCAATTGCTCATGTTATCACACCAATGAAATATGAAGCTCACCATCAAATCCTCACTCGAGTTTTGTCTTTTGTTGGATTCAACATGTGCATTACGACTGATTTTACTACCCTACCTGCTCCCGTAAGCCTGTGTTTTCAATGTGCCATGATCAAGGTGAGATCACAAAGGTTGGTATAGACTACGGCAAGGTGTGGCCTATATGACAAGTGGTACTTCTATTGTATAGATGGCGGGTGGTGTGGTGTGCTTGCTCTGGGTCAAAACTCGTAGCCGTTGGTAAATCTTTGTATCTCTTTTGACACACGCCAACCACATATCCCATATGGCACAACCAAGTAAGACTCGGCGATCGAAGGCATGACCAAACGCTAATCAACGAGAATACTTGTAACAGGAGAGAACCTTTATTTAAAATTGGGAAGCCTCGGCAAATCTAAGGAGAATGCTAAAGTATGTATTACGATCGCTGTCAACGCGCTTGTCAATGGGAGATTCACCCAGCATGGTACATATAGAATGCAGCTATCGATCTCATCAAGGAATATATCCCTCCAAACACCTCGGCAGAACAAGTCTTTAAAGATATGAACGCCTTTCAGATGGATGCGCGCCAAACACCTATGGTCTCCAAAGAGCAAAAGAAGCAACACAAGCCGAGCAAGAAGAAGACCAAACCGCTTAGTGCAAAAGAAAAGCGTTCACTGCACATCTATGACATTCCAAAGGAAGCGATCCGATACGACTTGTTTGAGCCTTTGCATCAGTTATGGCTTGGATACATCAAGGAATTGTATAATCAAGGACATGATCCGCTGGTGTTTCGACAAAAGTTACTCAAAGCAGATTATCATGGTGCCATTTTTGAAGGTACGATGCCAAATGAAAAAGGATGCGATGCGGAGAATCAAGGTTTTAATGAGACAGTGGAATAGTGATCAAAAGCACAAATCCATCCATGGTTGGCGTACGTGGTATTGTGGTGCAAGAGACTCAAAACTTATTCAACATGATCACCAACACGAATCAATTGAAGCGTAAGTGCACCCCATTTTAGTGGATTAGGATGGATGAAGGTATTGATCTTTCATATGTGTCGGATCAGGGATACCCAAGGCTGGCACGGTCTTTTCACTGGAGCTCCCAATGTGTAACGTGCGTCTCACAATCTATGGACAACAACTGCTGGTGCGGTCTGCCGAGCGAGCTGCGAAAAAGTTCAAGCCAAAACCGACGATAGACGTGTAGATCATTTTCAAAGTGCGCTCCTAAATTGCTTGCATTAGCGGGGGACATTAAAGAGTTGGCTATGTTGGTACAACAATCTTGTGTTACGAGAAAGTCAATGTTGCCACTGTGGATCATATACATCAAAACGTCTTTTGTTTTCATAGCAAGTCAATAAATTCCTCCAATGTTGCCATTGATATCGTCAAGGAGATGAAGGATGTTGTTTACGTGTACTTGGGTCACTAAGGAAGAATGGATACGACGAGACGTGCAGTAGTTAGGTATTATACACAGAGTCTTTACTTTAATCCATGCAACCTGTGTATACATTGCCACTTCGACTTTGACCAATAGTGAATCCCTACAATTGATTACGTATGACAAATTGGAGATAGTGAAATGCATCGATATATGAAATGTACGATGAAGGTTATGGAAGACTGGGAGGAGTTTGAGATAAAAGTGGTGATGGTGCTTACGTGATTTGTTATCTATAATGTCGGCTTTATGAATAACTTTGAAGAGTGTAAATTGAGTCTCTTGGATTAGAATTGCCCATGATATGAAGAAAACGTGTAATTGATCACAAGGGGGAGGAAAGAGAATCTATAAAGGACCATGGAGATGGAATCTAGCCCTGAGTGAGCACCCTTAAGATGATGATGATGGTGGTGGTGTTGTCCCAGTTATATCATTCGGACATGGATGATGATACTGTAACAAGAAGGAGGGGGGAGAGAGAGAGAGAGAGAAGCGAAAGGTAATAGGAGGGGAATTGTAAACAAGCAACAAGCAACAACAACAACGACACAGTAAATGGATGATGGTCCGGGCCCAGTAAAATTAGAAACGAGATGCATGTTAGAAAGAGTATAAATGTTGAGAATGGAACATGCAAACATGCTACAGGCGGGGGATGAACGTGTTGTTTCCAACATGAAAAGCATCAGCAAGCCTTCCTGATTTGGACCAACGGCTTTGATTTCAAGTTGCACGGACGCTCATCTTGGTCTCACAAGCGTGAATTAAAGATTGTAAGCGGTGGTAACCTTTTAGTTCTATTGCCCATATTACTTTACTCTTTCTCTCCCCTTTTCCCTTTTACTTTCCTTTATCCCGTTATCATAACTGGGTCCTTTTGTATCAATTTACCCTCACTCCTTTTCATCTTGAGCGCGCTCTTGCCAATAATACCATGGCCACAGTACAACAACAACATCATCATCAACACCAACCAGCACCACCACCACCACCCACTCAAGACCCCCAACCTCCGCTCTGTATTGGTTGTAGGAATCCCATCGAGGAAGGATCGGTGATCGCATTCGGTGATGCTCTCTTTCATTTCGACTGGTAAGTGCTGCGTTTATTGTTTACGTATGAGAATGGTCTCTAACGTGCTGTCATTGATCAGCTTCACGTGTGCAAAGTGTTCTCTCCCTGTGGATTGCACATCCAAGCTATTGCTATTGGCAGATGGTCGCCCTGTGTGTGAGAATTGCTCATATGTGTGTGTTGCATGTAAACAAACAATTCGAGATGAAGCGGTGATGACTGGTAAGTTTGTGTGTGTGTGTGGGAGGTGGGGTGAGAGTATAATAAATTTGTGATCTAACTATGATGATGATGATGTTGTGCCTGGATCATGATTATTATAGGCGAAGAAGCGTATCACGCCAATTGTTTCAAATGTGTGTCATGTAAAAGGAGAATTGAAGATCTTGTATTCACTCAAACAAGCAAGGTAAGTGATGATGCTTCCTATGTATATTAGCTTCATGTGCTTATAAGCATTGTTTGCATGAAGGGTATCTATTGCACTCCTTGCAATGAATACCGACGAGCTCAACGGCAACGGCGGAGAGAAGAAAAGGAACGACGCCAGGGTGAAAGCAGGGATCGACATGTGGTAAATAAAAATGGCGCTAAAAAGGGTTCCGATTCTATGGATCACTCATTAATTGATTTAATGATAGCTTCCTTCTCCATCCTCATCATCACCATCACGTCTAAGTCGGATGCTTGATTCACAAATAGCATCGGACTATCTCAAGATACAGCAGGCATTGGTACGAGAAAACGGCGCCGATAACAATAATATCCAAGTCCGCAGCCAGAGCGAAGACTCTTTGCCTCGTACATCTTCACGCCAAGACCAACATCGTCCTCCTTTCTCCCCAGATAATCAACAACGTCCACAACAACAACAACATCAACAACAACCACCTACTCCTAATCGATCACGTAGTAGCTCTGTCGAGATATCCAACAACAAATCCAATAGCAGCAATACCTTTGCCGCGTATCCTCCCTCTCGACACGGTCGTCCAATGCCCAACCAAAAAGCATCATTCACTACTACTTCCCCACCTTCGTCGGGTACTGCATCACCAGCACCAAATTATTCAAGTCGTCTTTCTTCCATCCCATCAGCAAACAGCTCAGCCGTTTCCTTGACACAATCCCCTTCCTCAGATAGCATTTATGGTTTAAATGATGCTGGTGCTCTCCCCAAGGGAAATCTTTTCAGTGATACAACCCTTAAACCAGACCCATCTCAAAACGACGTCCCCTCATTGAACCTCTCATTCTTCGACAATGACTCCTCCGATCTACTCAACTTGACAAAATCGCTCGGTGCCAACTTGGCTGTCGATATCAACAAGCCTTCAGAGCAACAGCTACAACAACAACAGCAGCAACGTAGACAACTCAAGACCAAACCAAGCAAAAGTTTGGCATCAGGTGCCTCTGCCAAATTCAGCAAAGCAACAGAGCTCTTATCATCCTCATTGCGGCAAGCTACACTTGGCAGTAGTAGTAATAGTAGCAACAACCATGGCAACAGCACGTGGAATGATTTCCCACAACCTCCCACGCGTGGTCTTAAATCGAGCACCAGCATGTTATCGCTGCGATCTGTGGACTCCAGTTCTTCCGAGAAAAACTTATCCAATGATAAACCATCGGTCTCCAAGTTACAGGCTGAATTGAAGGCATCCAATGCAAAGGTATCTGAGCTGAGCACCAATTTCAATAAGATCAAGGTACGTCTTTTCATCCCCCATGAAACCACCCCACATTCCCGATATTGATAATATCATTTGTAGGAAGCAAGCAAAAGAGCCTTGGATGAATTTGCAAGAGCCAAGGAAGACTTTGCAAAGGAGGTGACCATTCGACAGCAACATGAATACACCATTCTACAACTACAGCAACAAATCACAGCATTGAGTGGTAAAACCAACAGCTACTCTCCTCTCAACAAGGAAGAAATCGAGCGAATGTCAAAGACACGTATGGAATTGGATGAAGTGTGCAAACAGCTGAAGGAATACCGCGATGTGTTATCTGCTGATATTGCCAACATGGCCAAGCAAAAGCAAGCTGGACTTGAAAGGTAAATGATCCTCCAAAAAAAGAAGCTACCTATTAGGATGCATGTTGTTGACATGGTGATGATTTGTATTATGCAGCTCGGCCACTTCACATTTGCAAACTCAACAAAAGGCACTCTTGGCAGAAATCAAGTCATTGACAGCTGAACGGGATGGATTGCAAACCGAGACCAAGGGCCTATCTCAGCTTCGTGAGGACATTATCAGTGAGATGGTCATTTTGCATTCCCAAAATGCCGAGTTGACAACAATGAACAATGACTTGTCACGACGTGTGGGTGAACGAGAACGAGAAGCAGCTGCAGTGATGGCTGGAACATCATTTCTTTATCCATCCACATCAACCGATTCTCGATCAGCAGCAGCAGCATCACCACCATCACCCATGGAACGCAAATCATCCGATATCAGCAGTGATGTACGCACCGTTGCATCACGTGACAGCTTCAATGGCACACAAGCTCCAAAGCTCTTCAAGATGAAAAAGAGCCCAAGCAACATGTTTGGTCGATTCGGCAACAAATCCAAGACCGATGTTTCCAATAGTGGCGGCGGCTTGTATTCAATGCAAAATGCCAGTGTCAGCACCAATAGCCTTATGAGCGAATACCCACCACGTCGTGAAGTACGACAAGGCTCCAAACAATCTCAAACAAGCGTATTGCAAGGCTCCCATTCATTCCAACCCACGGCTTTTATTCGACCTGTCAAATGTGGTATCTGCTTTGAAAAGATGTGGGGTCTCTCCGAATATCGATGTCAAGGTATGTAGGATGGCTTTTCAAGTTTCTTTTCTTTATCTTTTGTTGACGCGTTGTTGTTATGATAGGATGTGGATTGTCGATCCATGGTAAATGCTTGAGCCACGCGCCTCAGCTATGCTTTTCGTCGGGAGGAAATTCATTAGAGCTCACAAGCCCACTATCGGATACCGACACACCCAAGGTGATGAGCATGTTTGGCAATGATCTTGGTGCACAAGCAGCGCAAGAAGGCCGTTCAGTTCCATTGATTGTGCAAAAGTGCATTGAAGCCGTCGAAGCACGTGGCATGGATTATGAAGGCATCTATCGGAAATCGGGTGGTGCTGCTCAAATGCGAGCTATTCAAGTGGCATTTGATCAAGGCGAAGATGTGGATCTCGTAGATGAGGATGAATACAATGATATTTGTTCGGTGACCAGCGTACTCAAGCAGTATTTCCGTGAGCTTCCCAATCCTCCTTTGACATTTGAATTGTACACCAACTTTATCGATGCCGTCTGTAAGTATACATGTCATGATGCCAATTTCTCGATGATGTCTCTAATCGCCTACTTTTTTTTTAAGCATTGGCAGCAGGACCCGAGAAAACAGATAAATTCCTTGAGCTCTTGTCTCAATTGCCAAAGACAAACTATGATACCCTTAAAATGCTTCTTGAGCATCTTCAACGGTATGTATCCACCGCATTGCTCATTGTTACGAGAATCATGTTGCTCATTGTAGTTGTCTATAGTGTCAGCAAATACAGCCGAGAAAATCGAATGACAAGCAAGAATCTGGCACTCGTCTTTGCGCCTACACTGATTCGAGGCGAAGATTCATCACGTGAACTTTTAGACATGAGCTACACCAACGCATTAATGGAGTATCTTATCTCATCAGCACATGAGCTTTTCGTCGATGATGGCGAATCACAGTAGATGTATTATATCCATAACTTGTAATTGCTATTGCTACATTGTAATATATGCACAGTTTTTTCCCTTAACAAATTGCCTTGAAAGAATCTACAGGCTATGCTCGCCTTGGTTGTTAAGCAAAGTGTGGAGCATTGCCAGGTTACGGTTGCTATGCAACCATACGCAAAGTGGGCATTGTTAATTGGGTCATTGTTATGTCGTTGTTAAGAAGGGTCTCGACCATACAAGTATAAAAGATACCCCAAAGACTATATTTGGGTAACAAAGGCGAAGGGCGCCCATCCAATTTTTATGATGATACATGCGACGTTCAAGCTTATGCATCCATTAATGATAATGTAGGTAGATTGTAGTAATAATAATACGATACATCATTGCTCTTTAAGCACCATCAGGTTTCACGGGAGCCAATGTAAGCCGTGGTACGCTATCAGGTTTGGTAGTCACCGGGGAATATGGAGGAGCGGGAGAACCCGGTGATGTAGCAGCAAGGCCTCCTTTTAAAGAGTTGTCATCAGATAATGAGTTATTACCATTGTTATCATGATGGCTATCTTTCCATTCTACAATGTCCACAGCAAACGTTGATAAACACCAATGATCCATAAATCATAAAAACCCAAGGACGCTTCTTACCTGAAAGCGGTGCTTCTTTGGCTGATTCTCCAGGTTGGCCAGAATCGCGACGTCGACGGATGAATAAAAAGGCAACAGCACCAGCAATCAACCCAACCTATACCCCATAGTTAGTCTCATACGATGCATGGTGATAGCTATACAACTTACGCCAACAACGACGCCAACCACAACACCGGCAATGGCTCCACCACTTAATCCACCACCACCATCACCCCCTGTGGCAGCATCATCATCATCATCGTCATCGGTGTCGGTGCCGTCTGAGCTACCAGCAGCAGCATTCAATCCAGGATAGTAATCAGAGATTACCCAACTTGTGGTGTTCAATATCAAAAAGCCATCAGCAAAACTGCCGTTGGTAGATTTGCCAAACATAATGAAAAGACTATCATCGCCAACCAGCACAGCTACATAGGAAGGTCATTGTTAAGCATTGCTACAGGATCAAATCATTTCATTTGCTCATGTACCTGAATGGCCGTAACGACGATATTGCTGTTTATCAAGAGGGTCACCGCCTTCTTTTGGTTGAATAGCTGACGAGATATCAGACCATGTCATCGTATCGGTGTTGAGAACGTATGCCGTATCATCCACAGGTTCAAGATGGTAGTAATTGTTGTCCCCCACTCTCACAGCAGCTAATAAAAGGCATTGAGCAAGAATGGTATGCATAAAATTGGTTACCACTTACTTTGAGCACCACCATATACAAGGATGTTTCCATTGCTCACTGTTAAAAGATTGTTAATGATCATTCATCAAAGCGGTGTCAGCTTCATTCAACTCACACAAGGTTGCTGTTGGGTGCCATCGTTGGCTGGGAACTGAACCTGATGTCGTTTGCACGGCCTCCCAGCCTTTAGTTTCATCGTAAATGAGAACTTGGGACATGTCGACTTCTGTTAGGCCATAGCTGGTGTAATTCGTTGTCTCATTGTATTGCGAGCTTGAATACTCGCCACCGAAAAAGTAAAATCGACCATCTTTTCCTTGAACACCAGCATGTCGAATACGTCCACTTACGACTTGTTCAGTGGCAACCGACCACTAACATTCCTTGCATTAATATGCAGCATAGGAAGAAAAGCATTATTAATATAGTAAATCTTACTTGAAGGTCATTCGTGGAAAGGAATTTGGGTATCGTAACGTATGTCTCAGATTCGCTGACATTGGTGTATCCGGTATCATGGTCTCTGTTTGTAGATTAATGCAAGGTAAGCCATGAGCCAGCTGTCATAATGATATGTAGGAGATCCAAACCTTCTACCGCCGTAGATGAAATAGCGATCTTTTCTTTGTACATCAGCCACTAGCGTGTTCATTTGCCTGTTAACATTGGTCAATATTAGCTTAAGAGAAATTGTTATGTGAATAAAATCAACGTACGTTTGCTCAAATGGCTGCGAGGTGATAGCAGACCATGAACTGCTGGTTGTGTTATACATCAATGCTGGGTTACCCAAAGCGTTCCCGTTTGCATAGCCAACCCCGCCTGTCATCACAAAAGTATCTTGATCTGGAAGAGCAGCCATCCCAAACCACATGTTGACGGTAGGGCGAGTATCACCCACAGCTGTTACTCGTTGCCAGGATGTCGCATTTTCAACTCTTCGCACAGGTCCCGTGACATCGAGGGAATAAAAGTTGGCATTTGGCTGGTACTCGAAAAAGCCGGTAGCTGTACTCGTGCCGCCATAGCAATAAATCTTTTTTGATACGAGGGCGCAGCCTATATGATGTTAATTTCACTATTAGCTTTGTTCGTTTCGAAAATACACGTTGTTTCTTTTGTCGCAAGATAACAACCTCCTGCATATTGATTAGGATGTGACTCGGCGGATACGGTAATAAGCCATGCTGGCAAGATTGCGTGTGCAAGCAATCCTTTGTTGATGCGCATCGAGATACGCTATGGGATAAAAGTAAAAGAAAAAAGAAAAAGAAAGATGTATATCGGTCCAACCAAGAGGCAATTGAAAAGAATCTCTGTTACCATGTTACACCGGTTGCCAGGGAACACGATGATCTTTTACAGGTACACACACATACACACACAAACACACACACAAGCATCTCCACTCCTGTGCTTCAATTCAATCCAAAGCTTATATTCTCCCCTCCCCCATATGGATGTTGATATATAGGAACACCTTCTCAGCTTTACCGGTTACACTTGCACTGTAGCAAAATGGGGTTTGATTACTGCCATTCCAATCTCATACATAGCGTGGGCGCAGCCACTGTAAGCGTAAATCATGTTGGACAAAGTCTAGCAATGTTGTCCCTCCTTTTCAATTCCGTGTAACTATAGAGCTGCACATAGAGAGCGGTCATCTTTTTTTGCTTTATCGGATGTTCATCCTCGAAGGGGCCTTCAAACGTGGTTAACTAAAATGACGGGCAAAATGGCTTATTCTACTACGTCGCTATGATTCTTGAATCATGCATGAATTGGTATTCTTATAGGATGTTGGAGCTGTGCAATGTGTGTGGCTACACCGTGTTTTCAGAAACGGTTGAATACACGTGTCCATATACTACTCTATGTTATTATTAGGATCGTCTATGTTCCATTCCCATTATCCAATGGCTTATCTTCGCTGCAACAAGGATTACACACGATTGGGGAATACAAGATTTGCCAATGCTAATAGCAAAAAGTGAGACATGTACAGGTAATACTATGTACGTTGATGTATCTTTATTTCTATTGGATCAAGGAGAACCAAAGAGATTGATTTGACAACAGCATAAAAGTAAAGCTGCTCATAGTGGTAACACAACATCCTTCTTCAGCCGCGGACCGGAAGATGCATGAAATCAAAGTCATTCATGTTATGAACGGTGGTACTTTGAAAGAATAATCAGTGTTTGTTTATTGGTGAAAGATACAACTTTGTATTAATTAGGATGTACTTAGAAAGACAGAGGAAAGCAATAAGGTGAAAAGTGAACTTTGAGATAGGGGAGTTAATAGGAAAGGGGAGGAAATATAAAACAAGGAAATCTACTCTCTCCAAGTGAACTTGACGTTAGCAGGATGTTGGGGAACAACGACCATGGAAGTATAGTCTGGCTTGGGGACACCGGGTTCCTCGAGTTCGAAATCGAATGTGCTGATAAAGGTGGCAATGACAGTCTTAAGTTGAAGATAACCAAATTGTTCACCAATGCAACGATGACGACCAGCACCAAAAGGAAGGAAGGGGTTCTTGGAAGAAATACCCACAGCACCAAATCCATAATCAGCGTTAGCGTCGTCGCCGACTTCCAATTGATGAACAGGATCCGACTTTTCAATCCAACGATAGGGGTTGTAAGACTCGGGCTCGTTAAAGTATTGCTTGTCAATTTGAGTGACACCAGGTGCAGCACAAAGGAAGTTGCCCTTGGGGATTTCATAACCATACTTTTCAAACACGATCTTCTCGGCTGTCACCTTGCGCATCATTTGGAAGATTGGTGGATGAAGACGAAGGGTTTCACGCACAACGTTTTCCAATAGAGTCAATTCCTTGAGGTTGTCAAAGGTGAGTTCAGCCTTGAGAGAGCCAAGCTTCTCAACCATTTCTTGACGCAATGCCTTGATCAACTCAGGCTGGTTGGCCAATTCGAGAATAGTCCAAGCGGAAGTAGTAGCCGAAGTGTGTTGACCACCAAAGAGAACAGCAATCATCATACCAGCAATGTGCTTATCAGGCAACTGGGTACCATCCTTATAAGTAGCATCCATCAAAGCTTGCAAAAGATCAGCATTGCTCTATGAAAAGGAATGAGAACACACGCACGTACGTAGCCAAACTCGTATAGTGGATAATTACATTGTCATTCTCATCCTTGCGTCGTTGAATAATGCTGGAGTAGAGATCAGCCATCTTTTGGCAGGCTTCATCACGGCGACGGTAGGAGGGGAGTGGCAAATTAGGGAACATAAAGTTGATTGGCTGGAAACCTTGATCGAGATCATAATAGAGTTTGGCAACACCATCATCGAGACGCGAACGGATTTCCTTGCCCATCAAGCAACGAGAAGCTGTGCAGATAATGAGCTTGCTGAAGGTCGAATAAGCATCGAATGATCCGGTGGGCTTTTGCATCTTTTCAAAAAAGTTCTTTGTCTCCTCCACAATCAAAGGCACATGTTGGCGGAAATGCTCCGAGCTGAGACCAGCCTTGATAAACCTAAAGGATCATTGACATATGATTAAAGATCCCATCCATAAATCCATATTTCCTTTTCATTCTTCTTACCTCTTTTGCTCCATGAACACACTGTGAGGGGCATCATAGACAACTTCACGTCCAAAGACATACTTGGTCATGTCATTATAAGCTTCAGCTGCCGAGGAGAGGTTTTGCTTTGCGTTGAAGACAAATTGGTTGCCATCGGCTCCCAAGCAAACTGTAACACGCTTGCCGACCATGTAAAAAGTGAAGACATCGCCATACTTGGCTTGACAATCTCTCAAAAACTTGATGGGGTTGCTGATGAAAATCATGTCAGCTATCAAAGACAAAAAAAAGGCGGCAACCTTGATGATGTAACTTACATGCCAAAGGTAACAGCGTTACCCATGAAAGGAATCCATGAGAATACGTTGGGTGGTTGCCGAGGATCCTTGGGCAAGATCTAATGGCATGCACAGACGACTCCATTATCAGTTTCCCCCTGGCTATTTTTTTCTACCCACTTCATCATCCCTGGACTTACCAATTGTGAAAGGATATGAATGGCGAAGAAGACACCAATGGCAAGAGCACCATAAACGGCGAGCGTTGGCAGCATCGACGCAACCAAAGAAATGAGAGCCATGATGACCGTACTCTGTGCTATTCAGAAAGGTGGAAAAGGCTGAGTTGTCCAGGGACGCGCTCTCTCATATAAATACAGCTCGAAGTGGTCACATCCGCCCGAACGGCCCGTTTCTTTGTACAACCTTACCCGGAGATCCATACAGACATGTCTCATTCACACCAACATTCATAATCCCATCATCGAGTCATGTAACAACGCTTGGAGACCATAGAGTCATGTCCATTACATAGAATACACCTATTACCAATCTGTACATCTTCCACTATTGAGTAATAAAACACCTTCATCCATCATTGATCTGAAACCAAGCATGATGGGCTGTTACACCGCTTTTGACCCAGTCGACATCAGGCGACAAAAACATCCCCACTTGCATCTTGAGTGGATTTTCGATTGCTTCTGTCAAATGGTCCGTGTCTCACTGTTGTATGGTAAAATTACATCCAATGGATTCCTTATGGTCCTTACTACACCGCCTCAGTCAAGGGGCTTGGTAACAGCCGTATCACCTATTATCCACCTTCATCTTTTTCTTAAGCACACATGGGAAGGGATGATTAAGGTGCGGACTATTCATGCAGCTTTGTCGGTCGATTGGCATCTCGTCACAGCCTATGTACATAGGATAGTTGCACCAAAGTATAAAAGACACATGCGATAAGACAAAGTTACGGTGTGGTTTATCTCTTTTTGCAAATCAAAAGATAGACACACTTTATCTGTGTCACTGGTACGCAAAAAACTGCTGCCGTGTGCAAGGAGAAAGTATTGGTCGATCGTTCAAAGGAAATGGTTGTTATTAAACCTCTCCTTGTTTCGAAGAAAGGAGATCTTAAAAAGATCGGCATTTATCATAAACCATACACAAAGAGCCAGGCTTGCAGTCTATTGCATATACCTTGTGATGATGTGCATGTTTCCAAGGATACTATAGCTTTTCATCACCTTAATCTCAAACCATAGATCAAGCTTTTCCTTGTTTACTGCAGCCAATACCAATTATCTGGGGATCGGGGGTTTGATAAAAAGGGGAGAGTGTATAAGGGGAACACCAAGGGATGTAATGGGGGAGTAGATCAATACACGTCTGTGATGCCCATATACGTCCATAACCAGAGACCCTGCTCAATCCTTTCTACATACTATACATAACCCACAGACATCCTCATGGCTTTAAGAGTATTCATTTATCTCATGCAAAGAGACGACAAGAGATATTGTGTTTTTCATCACAGGTCAAGGTTCAGCTTTTCCCCCAACTCCCATTTACCAACAATGTAGTATACGCACCATCATACCCTTTGTTTATGTACGTCCGTGTGGCACAACTAGCACAAGCCGTGTAATGTAATCCCACCTTTTCTTTACCTGGATAGATCACAATGTGTGGCGATCAATGGCTTGTAATAGGCTCATGCTTATCCATGAAGGCTGAAATGGGTAATTGAACAATATGCACGAGAGTATGCGAGTGTGTCAAATGGACATGATAACGTCACGGAGAGAGCTTGCTACACTTTACAATACAAATGTACTGTGCTGCAGCTGCCATTTCTTTTCCCTCTTTCTTCCATTCTCTTTTTTTCCCTCTTTCCCTTTTTTTGGTTCTTCATTCTCTGTTGGCTGTACTTGTTCTTTATTAACACGCGTGGTGAATACGAGAGCCGTTTACTGCATATTGTTTTACCCAGAACATTCATATCTTTCCAAAAACATCCTTGTGTTTTGCTTTTGATTCACCCGATCAGGTACAAACCCATATAGGAAAAATGTTCATTGCTCTCTCTCTTTTATGTTTATTACCAAAACTAATCACAATGCTCTTGTAGTATATATCGTATTATACGTTTTTGGTCCCATTTCCATTCGTCTAGGGCTTTTCCTACGTACAGCTCCTAAACATCCTTTATGGACTGCCGTAACTATAACTCCAATCTCGAAGGTACATTTGTGTTCATATACAGAGTGTGTGTGGTTCACCTATGTGGTGGTGGGGGTGATGGGGTAGGAATCAAAGGATGTGTGTGTGCGTGTGTGTGTGTGTGTGTGTGCGAAGGGAGGGAGGGATGACGTGCGCCCTGATTAAAAAGTAATAACACCCAAGGGATTCATGCAGAGTTCAATTCACTCGGCATCAAACCCGATTCTGCAGCTGCAGCAGCATCCGTTTATCATTCAACAAATAAGCCTATGGATCCTATCAACTACTATCGTGCCACAACCCAAGACCCACGCACATTGCTTTCTGGTCCCCATCAACAAGAACAACCACCCATGATCCCACCTTCCCCGGCAACACCAGTAACAGCCCCCAATGCTGCTGGTGCTGCTGGTGCCGGAGATAACCCTGCAGCCAATTTCCTTGATCACTCGCTTGCAACAGGTTTTGGTGCATACAACCAACATCATCCATCACCATTTTCTCCTCATCAGTTCGATTCATACACAACGACCTCTCATACGAGTGCAACAATGTCTCCATTCCAGGATCACCGTCATCATCGTCAAGATATAGTGGATTATGCCTCATCTTCACAAAGCTTTCATACACCACCCATTATGCCATACAGCCCTCATCATCATCATCATCCGCATCATCAGCAGCAGCAAACGGCTTCCCCACTTTATCATCCTTCACCGGGTGGTTACAATACATTCAATGCTACATCCTTTGATCTCGATCAAAAGAAACGTAAAATGATGGATTTGTCAATGGAAGTGCCAACCACCATGAAAAAGAAGTCAAGGTCAAGAAAGAAACGTCCAAAAGAACCCGAGGATCCCAATGCACCACCGAAACCAAAGCGAAGAACAGGACTTGACAAGCCTTTAATATTAAGTGCAGCGCTTTCGGCATTCGTAGGTGGTGATGCAGAGGTTTGTAAAAAGAGTCATGTGTCTAATAGGGTGTCCATGTAAGCTCATATCGCGTGTTATGATAGATGTCACGACCCGAAATTGTCAAGGTGTTATGGAAGTATATCAAAGACAACAACTTGCAAGATCCTGCTGATCGACGCTACATTCTTTGTGACGAAAAGCTCAAGACTATCTTTGATCAAGATCGTATCAATAGCTTTGGCATGAATCGTGATCTTTCGGCTCACTTGACGAAAAAGACAATCACTAGTACATCGCCTGCACCTGCTACAGCTACTACTACTACTACAAACGAATTGTCAACGTCTCCTACAACAAGCGAACCTCCATCTGCATCCACTACTTGTTCAGTGCAAACGTCATCCACACCTCCATCCCATAGCAACAATAATCCCTTGTACATGGAATGAAATATCATAGCTTTTTAATGTGTGCTTGTTTATCTTCTTTTTGGGTCAATGGGACGAGAAAGTGTAAGGCAGGGGAAGAATCCCGCAGCAAATCCATGACAACACTGTTGCCATGCAACAATTGCTGCGGCGTTCCTGTTATAGATGTTGTCTTTTCACACACACACACAAGGGATTACGAAGCAAGCAATAAAAGTATGTCGAATAGATCATAGATCATCACAGTGGTGGTCAAATGTATATAAGGGTGACCAAGATAAAGCATACACAGGAGGGCTCCTTGTTACTTGGGACAAGTTTTACTTCTGCGCCACATGAGATTAGCTTTGTGTTTTTTGTCTTCAGCCAGAATAAAAAGTCGCTAGCCGGCGCGGTGAAATTTTTTCGTTTCCTTGTACCTTTCAATATGCCCAAGAACAAAGGAAAAGTGAGTGCGACATGCCCATTTGCTCATCTGTAAGCAATACTCATTTCGTCTTTATTTCGCATTAGGGTGGTAAAAACCGAAGAAGAGGAAAGAACGACAATGAAGCCAACAAGCGTGAATTGATCTTCAAGGAAGAGGGTCAAGGTGAGTTTATTCAGGGGGGCGAGAGGGAATACTACTACTGTAACAAAGAGCAACCATATACTGATAATGTCTTTTTGTGTGGATCAGAATACGCCCAAGTTGCCAAGATGTTGGGTAACGGTCGTTTGGAAGCACATTGTTTCGATGGTGTGAAGCGTCTTGCCCATATTCGTGGTGCTCTTCGTAAAAAGGTCTGGATCAACCAAGGTGACATTATCCTTGTCTCGTTGCGTGAATACCAGGATGATAAGGCCGATGTTATTCAGCGTTACAACCCTGATGAAGCACGTCAGCTCAAGCAATACGGTGAGTTGCCCGACAACACCAAGGTCAACGAAAACGACACCTTTGCTGGCGAGGAGGATGATGAGGTGGACTTTGAGTTTGAGATTGATGAGGTAATATCGCTATTATATAACCATTCGTATACGGTCAACTCACTCGATATGCAATGCTATTCTCTTCTGATTTGTAGATTTAAATGCTTTCTTATTTGCCCTGTCGAATTCTCAAGCTTCTCCTCTCTATATACACCCACCTTATATAAAGAAAAGCTACAACCTGTTAGATCTTGTAAATATACACCCGCATCCTACCTTGGTATTTCTCTTGTCTGCAATCTGTTTTAATGTAAAGGGGGTTAATGGGATATAAAGATCATCATCCACCACTATGGCAACCTGCGGTAGTAATGCTTATGTACGTTTCTATGCTAAACACCGAGAGTGGCATGTGTCACGTGGCTGACAAACATTGCGATTTTGGTGGCCATCCAGCGCAATGAGTGCTTGAAACAATGTCTCTTTTACCCACCACCAATACCTTCACACGTAATAACCCTTCCTGGAATCCACAATCACAAAAATATGGCCGATCCTTCAGTTCACGACCTCTCATTGTACAAAGACTCCTGCACTGGACACAAATGGACTTTGATGTAAGACGCCAACCCAAGTCTCCTTGATCCCCAACAAAACACGCCCCATCGATGCATTCTTATGCGCTTTGCTTTAGGTAGCCTTATGGCAAATGGCCTATCTGCTTATCGCACCAAAGAGAGTGTAAGTGAACTATTGACAGATACGCGCACCTGTGCTTATCACCATGCATTAGATATCGCAACGTGTACTATCATAAACGTAAGTGTTGTCAAAGGCTTCATAGGCGAGAAACGCGTACTGATATGGCACATTGCATTACGTGTAATAGAAACCAAGAACCAATGGGCAAGGGATGATCCAGCGTTCTTTGTCTTGTTGACAGGATTGTTAGCGAGTAAGTGTGTGTGTGTGTGTGTGTGTGTGTGTGTGCAGATCATCAATATCAGGAGGAATGGCGCTCTCTCTAATCTCGCACGTTGCGTTCACAGTTTCTGGCACTGCTTGGGCTGTTGTATATGGAAAAGGATGGTGGGGCATCTTGTACACAAGCGTATTTATGGTGTTGGTCGACTTTTTGTTGGTTGGATCATTGGTGGCTACATTTACATGGTGAGTAAAGAGAAATCAAAATGGATGGTACAGCTTAAATATTAAGATGATTGATACAATAGGTGGATCACCAATCGATTCCTCAAGTTCAATCGAATGTCCTATGCAGTGGATCAAAACGTGGAGTGGGCGTATGCTTTTGACGTACATTGCAATGCCTATATCCCGTTCTTCCTTATTCTCTACATCCTTCAATTCTTTTTCCTACCATTATTGCGGGCTAGCAGCAACTGGATTGCATTGTTTGTCGGCAACACGATGTACTTTTGTGCCATTGTCTGGTATATGTATGGCATCTTTATTGGGTTCAAAGGTAATGATATTGGGTTCATTGTGTGGTATACAATGAAATTGACCTTGGTGTATTGTATAGCGCTCCCATTCCTGGTGCATACTGAAATCTTTGTCTATCCCACGCTCCTTGTCTTCGCCCTGTACATTGCCTCTTTATTTGGATACAACATCTGCCAACACGTACTTGGATTCTATTTTGGATAGAAGAAGCACACATCCCCATCATTCCCCTTCGCATTTAGATTCCTTTTTTTACTTGATAAATTGACATCTATGAGATTCGGTATCCTACAATTTGTTCTTGCCGCTGTTCTTGCCACGGACGTATGTATCAACGATGCGACCAAAATCTTCACCCTGTTGTCTGGCAATTTCCAACTCCTTGACCGAAGGCTGACGTGATCCATCACCATTTCTAGTATACAATAGGGTCAACGTCAAGAAATCCATTATCCTTTGTATGAAAACCTACGCAACAGTGCCTGCACCATAGGCTGAACCACCAATGACTTCAGAATTATCAAAGAGATGCTACATCATAAGATTGCTATATGAGACAATGACACCAATAAAAAAACAATGGTTACAACTTACAGCATTTGCGAATCCAAAGGGCACATAAATCATGCCATGATGAGCGAATACAGGGAGCGTAGTCAAAGATGTAGTTTCTTGACCTAAAGCAACCAATAAGTATACCACGACCATTTTTGCTCTTGGTTTTTAAAAAGCTTACCGCCGTGTTGAGATCCAGTGGAGAAAAAGGTACCAGCGAACTTTCCATGCAATGCTCCCTTAGCCCACAAACCACCTGTTCCATCAATAAAGGCGCGCATTTGAGCAGGCATTCCACCATAGCGTGTAGGGAAGCCAAACATGACACCATCGGCCTCAGTTAGCTGCTCGAGTGTTGCGATTGGAATATCAGGTCTAGGTGGTGCCTTGACAAGCTTCAAGATTTCAGGAGAAAGCGTTTCAGGGACTAGATGGGTATCATCGTAGCTTCATGTTAGCGCGTCCTATTATGATAGATTTCGCGTTTTGTGTAGACAACGTTTACCTTGGTACATTTTTGATTGCACACCAGCAGCTTCCAAACCCTTGTGTATTTCAAGGCCCAGCTTATGGACATGGTGGTATAAGCTGTACATAATCACATTAACGCGAGCTCGAGACATGATAAATTTGAAATGAATAAAGATGAGTAGCGTGAGCAAGAGGATTCGGACGACGTTAAATATTTGGATCTGTCGGAGATAGTGTCATGCTTATGCATCGCTTACTGATTTTACCACGTTGGCCATATATGGTATTGTCATTTGCCACACTGCCTGCCTTTGTCAGCCATCAGTCAAAGCGAAACATGTCGATCCTAAAGAGTTTCTGGAAGCGGTATTGTGTGAGATGATGACACCAAATATAGCCAATGTATATGGCCCAAGTCTTTTTGCTTTCCTTTTTCATTGCTCATTGCTCATCTCTCCCTGTGTATTCAATCAGTTCCTTTTACAATTACCGATTTTCTTTAACCCCTTGTTATCGGATGGATGAAACAACACCATTTGGGAATCGAAGAAGGTAAAAAGACAGCTTGGCCCTCATGTTGATCATCGTATAGTAGCAATCCAAGCACATTCGAAACAAGCCACGTTGCCATTTGCAGCCAAAGATCAATCAGGTGGAGTTGTTGGTATACGGGATTAGTGAACCCTACTCAACTTGATATGCGTGCGTGCGTAATATGGGCAATCTCTCTTTTATAACAGATTGGATTTAGGAGGTTAGCAAAAGATTTTAGCATTATCTTCTTTCCAAAAGACCATGGCTTTTAGTGCAGCATTGTTTATCTTGGCACTATTGCTGTTGCTTACTAGCCAGCCGACACAAGCATCCATTTGCATTCATTATCACGACCCTCTTGATGGCAACCAATACACTGTTATGGATTGCCCTGAAGTACACAGCAATCGAGTACTATACAACAAGAACGTTACCTTGCCTCTTATTATAAAGGATGCAGCCATTGATCCCTTCACAATCAGCTTTTCATGTGGGATCAGCGATAGCACAAGGTGCCGTGCTGCCGAAGAAGTCTGTAAGCGAGCAGGCACCATGCTAGGATCCATCTTGGACATTGTGCAACCTATCACTGTCAATGTTATGTTTGTTTCCTTTTGTAAGACTTATGGCAAGTGTGTATCAAGCACCGGTGGTGGACCTTTAATTCTGGGTAATAGCATGAAAATGGAAGGCAGCTGCATGTTTATAGGCATACACAGTAATTGATCTTTGTCCCTTGCATATACGTAGGCAGTGCAAGACCTGCAATCAGCCATTTGATGACCGACACGCTGGATGGCAACCGTGTACGTGAATATCCACAAGCATTGCTCAAGCAATTTGACAACATCAACCCACATCCCGAATACAAAGGCCAAGACATCATTGCTATGGTAAAAAAGAGGAGATAGACGTATCAAAACGTGCATGTGTGGCTGACTATGGTGTATATCAAGTTCAATTCTGATCATGACTGGTACTTTGATGTAAGGTGCACACACGCCATATGTTTTGAGCACGTTGTCGTTGTTGGAAATTCTCATATGCACGATTATACAGCATCAAAGTACGAGCCCAATTCAAGCCGAGCAAACAAGCTTGTTGTTGATTGTATTACATGAGTATATCCATGGGCTTGGATTTTTATCCAATTACTCGAATGACTTGTACCTAAAGTTCCAAAGGCTGAAAAGTGATCTTGGAGTCTTTCTCACACCCAAACGCTATGTACCTGTAAATGTCTCTCCAATGTATGCTTCAGCACCAAATCTTATGGCTCCACAAGGTTTCTGGGGATTTCTCGAGAGTGCATTCGACAAGTTCTTCTATCACAAAGCTGCGAATGGCACCTATGTACCTGTATCCAGGGTAACAGACAATCTCAACCAATTCCAAGGTGGCAATATCCTATTTGACAGCTTGTTGGAGTTTATAGGTGATTGGTTAAACTCGCCTCAATGTGAAGCTGCAACTACGTTAGCCAAGGAAGCTGTAACACCAAACACATTTATGCTCATGGATCCTAACAACGATGATGACGAGGTTGTTGCTAGCGTGCTATATACCAGTGCATCTGAATTTATGCCTGGTACTTCTATATCACACGTTGACACGGAGACATACAAGGATACGACTGATTTTCTCATGATCCCAAGCGTGGAAACGAATGGCATGACATTTGATGAGATATTGAAGATTAGACATGCCACACAACCCTTGGGGAAGCACTTGCTGCAATTTTTGACAGCTTTAGGATATAGGCGATCTATCGATGCAGGGACGTCCAAAGGACTTGTTGTGTATCAACCACCCAACAATCTTGCAGGAACCACTACTTCCTCTTGATTGATGATCCAAGAATAAACGTATTTTGGGGCGATGGTATTAATCTTTATTCATTCATGTTTCCTTGTACGACAGCACGTGAAATTGAGAAATGGGGGAGGAAGTGGAGGTGCTATAAAGTATCTCTCTCTTTTGGCATGCAGCTCAAACAGTGACACAAGTCTCATGTCTTTTCCGTTCCTTTCATGACCACCACCACCAGCAACAGCAACAACAATACTCATATTGCTACATTTCTTTACTTGGCAATCGCTTCTGCTCTCTCTTGTATACCAGCATTAGCAGGCTTTTACGCGCAATGGCGTGGTTACCGCTGGCTCGGTTTCTTTTGTTACGGCCTCACCATCCTCTCGTTCGTTCTCTTCCTCATTCTTCTTGTGGGATTCAAGCTCTTACGTCGTGGAACACCATTCCTCCTTCGTTTTCTCGATCGTCTTAACCATGTCCTGGCTCCCATTGTCTCACGCATTGCAAAGACTTCGTTTGTCGGTCCTGCTATTGGTATGGTTGTCAGGGCCAATTTCTTTGTATGGTTCCTGGTGTTGCTTATGAGCGATCAATTGGTGCGTGCTCTTCTCACTCGTATCGTTGGTCCACATTCGAGTCAGAGTAACTATTGTAAGTAGAAGAATGGCATGGATACACAAAGATGATATGGTCATTCATCCTATTCTTCTCACTTCGTAGCCATTGTTAATGCGGTGGATCCTCAATTCGCCTTGATCGACAACTCACTCGATAAGCTATTTGGAGTCAGCAATGGCTATTCACTTGCCAAAGCATACACCCTTGCTGTCGCTAGCAAGCTCGCCTATGAAGAAGTCAACATCATCAAGCATGAGTTGGAGAAGGATGGCTTTGATGTGGCAAACAGCTTTTTGCCATTGGCATACAAGGTAATTGGGTAACATGTCATTTTGTATCAAGCATTCATGATCATGGCATTATAGAATATTTGCGCTTACATTGTTGAACGTGAAGATGATATCTTTTTGATCTTTCGAGGGTAAGTGAATGAACGAATGGCTGAAGAGGAGAGAATTCTTTGCTGATCTTTCTATAAAGAACAAGCCCATTGAATATCCAGAACTTTGTCACTGATTTCAACATTGGAATGATGGATGTGAGGACGCCTTCAGGTGTTTCCATGGGAAAAGTGCATCGTGGATTTTGGGAAGCCATGGGTGAATCTTGCCCTGCACCAGCACAGAGGAATACGACCTTGCAAGTACAACTCAACTCTGCATCCTTGTATCGCACCATCACATCGACTATGCAGGCTGCAGCTGAAATCGGCAAATTCGCTATCGATCAATTACTGCACCATGTATCAGATCCGATCGATAATAGCTGGATTGGTTATGACATTGACATACGGCACCACAGCATGTATGCACAAGCTGAAGGATGGATCATGGAATTGATTAATCGACATCAAGAATCTATCGCAAAGAAGCGATTTTATGTGGGCGGTCATTCATTGGGAGGTGCTTTGGGAACGAGTAAGTGTGTACCAGGATTGAAAGCGAACCACAATTGCTGAACCAACCCTTTTTTTAGTCTTTGTTGCCAAAATGATCCAATCTGAAAGTCCTTTGTTGAGACACTTTGCTGGCATGTACACTTTTGGTCAACCCAAGGTAGGCGACGCCGAGTTCTCTCGCGCATTTTATCCCGAGATTTCGAGCAAGATCTTCCATCACGCATACAACAACGGTAAGCACATGTTGGGCCCCCTTCATCCATGAGCCATGTTAACTTACAATCATCATCATCGTGGAATACAGATATTGTAGCTCGTGTGCCTCCATGGTTCTACAACTACGAGTAAGAAACTTTGATTGTTGGGAAGGGTAAAAGGGATTTTCATTGTTAACAAGAAGATGGATTATAGAACACCCCCTGGCACGCTTGTATTTATCGACTCAGCTCATCAAATGACATTATACCCACCCGATCCACGTACCAATGAGCCTACTCCAGTTCGCCCTATTTCTTATATACATTTGTCTGGTTTGCTCAACAGCAACGTCATTCGTCGGCTGGCCCACGAATCTTGGCTACGCGTGCTATTCCGCCTTTTATTTCCATTCTTCTTGAACGACCATTTCCCATCCGATTATTGTGCCGGTATCCGACAAGGTCTTCTCAACAAGGACGTAGCAATAGGACAAGAAGTATGGGATAAACACAAATTGGATGAGGAAGGTGCCGTAGGAACAACAATGATCCCTATGGGTATTACCAAGACTACTAGACGGCATTATGCATCTTAGATCATAAATGTATTTTTAGAAGATGTGCATCCTTATTAAAACATACACGCACACACACACACACGTTCGGGTCGGGTAATCTACTATATATGTACACGAGGGATAATGGATAATCGCAAAGGGTTGCAATCTCAGTATGAAGCACATGTATGTACATAAGGGGAATTCAAGAGAGAAGGACAAAGTGCAAGCTGCATGATGGCAATACCTCGAGTTCGTAACGGAGGTAGTGGGGATGTTTGGTTGTATTATAAAAAGAAGCACGTAACCCCTGTGTATCAGATCATTCCAGAAAAGAATTTCGAAAGCAATGCGCGTGCTCTTTTGGAAGGAAGGCGAATGTTCCTTTCAGGTATCGAGTATTCTTTATACTGGCAGTGACATGGAATGAAAGTATTGGATGTCCAAAAGTCGAAAGCGTGATTACGGTAAAGCAAGGCTTCGTAAAGTGGGTAGGGATGATGACGATGTATTATTGTTATTGCTTCCATCATTGAGGATGATGCTGCTGCTGCCGCCAGGTGTTGAAGCAGTTGTTGCTGTGTTGATACAGGGTAGTGTCACAAAAGGTAGCGTAGCGTGTTTTGTGCTCCTTTCGTTTTCCATCATAGGATGCCGTGATTGATCACTCGTATGCAAAGGATTCGCTGGGCGAGAGTAAATTGGAGGAAGTTGCAAAGTAGATGAGGAGGGAGAAGATGCGCAAACAGCCTCAAGAGAAACATCATTATCGTCGTCATTCTTATCAGCAGCAGCAGTAGCTAATGGTGCTGATGGTGGCGACCGGGTATCGTGTTTAGGATGTTGCGTTATGGATTCATCAAGAGCTGGCATAGAAGCAACTTGTGTATTGTGTTGTGCAAGCTTTTGTTTAAGCCGGTATACTGCAGCAGAATACCATTGTCAACATCATGACAGCCCATAGCACAAAAAGTAGGTGGACATTTTGCATACTTACTTGCTTCATCTAAAAAGGTGTTTTTTTAGTCATCCAAATAATGCAAAAGTGTTTGAGTCCCACTCACTATTAACGGATGATGATGCACCGTTGGCCATAAGCGAGGTGGCAAATGTTACCACAGATGCTAAAAGCTAAATAAAAATGCAAGTGGGAGAAAATAGCAATGGAGCCAAAGTAGTGGGTGTAAGAGAGAAAGAGAGCTGCATAATGCGTGATAGCTTGTTTACTACTCTCAACTTTACCTCTTGCTGTTGCGTTTGTGCGACTCGCAGTTGACCAAGTGCATGATGTATATTAGTAGTACGGCTTTGTACATTCTCCAGCATATCGTTTAACCGAACAAGGCAATCGTTGATTGCATTGTCATTGTTTGATCCATGGCTTGCATCATCAACAAGCTCGTGTTCATGTTTCATTGATGCTGGTAATGCTGCACGCTTGTTAATCGGGCCATAAGGTGATGATGGAGGAGGGGATGTCGGAGAACCGGAAGCGATGGTCCTGCATACAGAGCGACGACGTTGGACATGTTGCAGCGCACCCTCCGCATTACGCCTAAACTGATCATGTCTAAACTGCCATCCATCAGGATTACGCCTTGGCCCATGTATAGGAAACTCAGCCTCTGACACTTTGCGAAAGCCATACACTATCATCATTGCATGTCAATATCATTGCATTGATTTTTGAGTGTAACGACAACACTTGCGATTGAGTTGACGAACAAAGCTTTGCCAATTGTTATGTTTGAAATAGCGAGGGAGCACTGCTTTGGAAAAAGTGGATGCATCTGGAATCCAAATGGCATCTCCTTGTTGGGTCCAGCAAATAAGATGATCCGTTTGTGAATCGTTTACAATGCTATATGTATGTATTCATTGAGTGAAAAAAAGCCATTGTATACGTATCATACAAGTATTCCCAAGAAGTCGGGACGGGGTAGTATGTGTCCAACCAACCGATATCAATTCTTCCTCTCTAATCCCCGCTCGCTCAATCACCAACACATACATCCAGAGCTTCTTCACAAAACTGGGTAGATTCTTGCGATGGGTTTTGTTTTCATTAGTGCCGGTGATGGACATTTGTTGTGGCATATATGATTGTCGATTGAGTCTGTTAATCAAAGGAACAAGAAAAAAGGAAGAAAGAAAGGAAAAGGGGAAACGAGAGACAAAAAGCAAGAGCTAAAAGTAAAATGATGCTTGTACCACAGAACAATTCAGGCTATGGCGAGATGTTTTCGATCATTCCTTTTTGAGGAATCTGTTCAGTGACTTGGATCGAATAATGATAAATTACACTGCATTTCTAGCGCCTTCGAGTGCATCAACAACAAAAAAGACACGCCAGCAGCATAAGCGTTCATCACGACACGATCGTTTGCTTAGGATGATCATCGTCAATGTCACCTTTCATATTTTCTACTTTCCGTTTTCTCATCCGGATAAATGTTGTATGATATGCAAGTCATTTAGTGAAGCTTGTGGACAATAATATTCATATTCTGCTACCCCTTATTCTTTTTCCACCGCAAATCGATGAACCATTCAGCGCCAATTACCCCCTTTGTTGCTCCTTAATTCCTGCCAACCAGTAATTTGGGTCCACCATACAAACTCTCCCACAGCGGGGAATGATAAAATATCCGAGGAGAGCCTACCACACCCACGCACACGCATACACCACACATACACGTACACATACACTCATAACACTTATTCTTTGCAATAGTCATTGTTCAAACTGGCTAGTCAAGATATGCGATCGAGCGACGTAACTGAAATTCTCAAAGTAATTGTGCATGTGAGCATCAAGGCTTGTTTCCACAGGAGTCTCTTTGATCGATTCACGAGTGAATTTGCCATCGAAATTTTCTGCAAGCTCGGGGTCTGTCTATATGAAACGCAAAGTTGTATTTAGGATGACGCATATTTTCCATAATCATCCAATGCCCGTTTCCATACTTACAATCTTTGGTTTCAAGGGAGGTGTCACTTTACGGTCTTTGATGGATGTCCAATTGATACGACGGAACCACTTGTGTGCCTTGACCTCCTCAGTGCCATCATCACCATATCCTAAACGTGTATTTGGGTTCTTGCGCAGAAACTACAAAGAGCATGTTAGCTGCGATGATGCAAAGGTGTACAAGGTTTCTCTTTAACTTGCCTTATTGAGCATGTCCTTGGCATCTGAGGTAACGTAATTGGGTATTTGAGGTTTCTTTTTGCGTATAGCATCCAATGTCTTCTTTTTGTTTGATGCACGGAAGGGAGTCTTCATATAGAAAAATTAGGTTGAACCCCATTTGAGTGATTCGGTATAGTTACTTACATCCCCAGTGAGCATTTCAAACATGAGAATGCCGAGTGACCACCAATCCACACATTTGTCATAATGCATCTCCATCAATATCTCTAAGGGCACAATATCGGTTGAGTGGATCTAAAATGGTAATCATGTTCGATGCATGAAAGAAAATAAGATTTACCTGGTGCCATATATTCCGCCGTTCCGCAAACTGTATTTGCTCTGCCATCTCCAAGTGCCACTTTTGAAAGCCCAAAATCCGTAAGCATGACATGGCCTTCAGCATCCAATAAACAATTCTCAGGCTTTAGATCGCGGTACACAATGCCGAGTGAGTGAAGATGACCTAAGGCCAAGACGAGTTCTGCAAGATAAAAGCGAGCCACCCTTTCTGGGAACATTTTCTCTATAGTAATCACAATAATGCATTAGTGGATCTGTTTATATAGCCCTGCATTGATCCCCTTTGCTCTTACCTGTAGCCATGTGAGTAAAAAGCTCACCACCCATGGCATATTCCAATATCAGAAACAATCGGTCTTCAGTTTGGAAAGCATACATCAATTGAACGATGCTAGGATGTCGCACTTCTTCAAGGATTTGCCGTTCAGATTTGATATGCTCTGCATTCTTGGTATGGACCAGCAATGATGCCTTTTTGAGTACTTTCATGGCGTATAATTGACGGCTCTCCACATGTCGACATAGCGTCACCTTGCCATAACTAAAAACATCACCATCATCATCATTTAGACAATGATACCTTTCCTTCCATCATATGTAAAAGTTCACTTACGCTCCACGACCAAGCACCTTGAGCATTTCGAAATCATCCCGGTTCACCTTTGGACGTCGCTTGTGGCTGCTGGTACTCTTCTCCCTGACCGAGGATGCAACAAAGATCTCATCCAAAGATACTTCATAGAGCCGCCCATCCATGGAGGCACGACTTGGTGCAGTTGTATCATCTTCGGAAGCGTATCCCTCTCCTCGATGGCAGGCTGAATCGTGGCTTGAACGGCGTTGTAATGCAGCTAGATCCTCGTCTTCGAATTCAAATACTGTGCTCATTGAAGTAGTTGACGGGTATGTTGGTGTGTTGGAATGTTGGAAGTTGAGAGTGCGATTATGATACAACAGTGCAAAGACGACGTGCGACTAATCCCAATGACAATAGAAAGAGGTCAAATTTCATCAAAGGCTCGGTGAAGAGATCAGGAGAAACGGAAGCCGTTAAATCACTACCATGGGAGTTGGGGGTGGGTGGGTTCCCCTTCTGCCGCCATCGGAACTGAAAAAATTACAAGGTGAGTTCGCTTGGTTGAGGTCGAGTATTTTATGCACTCTTCGTATAGTGTCCCAATCATTCTCGCTGCTTACCGAACACACACACCAATATTAAGAGTAGGTTGGAAACATGGGAAGGGATGTGCATTATGCATACAAATGATTAATTTCGTTGATAGATTTCTTATCGCTTGCCCTATTTTGGCCGTCGTATTATGCATAGACAACATTGCTCTAGGCTCCTCAGACTTAATCCTGGTGTATGCGTCCCCATCACTTTATCAGCTCATGCATCCATTTATCAATGCATCATCCTCAATAGACAATACCCACGCCCAAAATGCACAATAAAAGGATGTTGTCGCCGCCCATCATACTCCCACACGTCTCTTTCCTCTTCCCTCTGTCATACTTTTTTCATTGCTTACAAGGTCAAATCACCATGGTTTTGTACGTATCCCATTTCTTGCAAATTTTGTGATTAAGCGCTGATCTTTGTGGTCTTTCATAGTGCTTCATTGTATCGTGATTGCCATTGTGATATTGTATTCTTGTAATGAGGTATAAAGCCTGATCATGTTGCTTGATGTGTCATTACTCATACATGCTACTTTGCTACTTTCGATATGGCTATCTCTTTCTGAAGCATCTGCAAAAGTTGGTTTCGGTGCCATGATCTACGTCGTGCTGAAATTGACAACATGGTGCATGATTTGACATGGTGGGGCCAAATAGCAGGGGAACCACCCCCAACTCCCATGGTGGATCTAACGGCTTCCCTTTCATCATACAAAAACACACTTCGTTGTTGGCTACTGATAAGTGGCAAGACCCTACAATGAAACGGCTATTTGGAATCTTACAATCGACTCTCCAGCAAACAATCAGCTGTGAGCAGGAGCTATTGGATACTGATGTATTATGTGATTCGGGCAAGCAATCAATGATGAACATCCTTGACACCACCGATCGCCTCCAATATGACTCACCGAGGATCCGAAACGAAGCACAAATTCATATCAAAAAGCTGTAAACTCTGAAAAGACAATACGAAGAGGTGGAAACGTATGAGAAGGAAGCGACACCGTTGCCATCCTCCGACTCCTTGCTTTGACCCTGCGATCTCAGAAGTCTGTGTCACCTTGCTAATTCTTGGTAGCTGCCAACAATGATATCATGATCCAAATCACACGCTCATCAAGTCAAGTCATATAATAGATCGGGTGATCAGGAGCCTTCAATCATATCATGTATCTATGTTGGATTCCATGAGCTTACAAAGGAACACTAGCAGCAGCAGCAGCAGCAGCAGTAGCATTCCGTATACATATAACTTGGTGAATAAAAACCTCTTGCATTATTCTCATGAGCATGGTAAAAAACTCTCGACATCTTCATGAAAGGATATTTTAAAGATGGCATGTCAAGTTATGCAGGTGGATTTCATCCATGTAGCCTAGGAACGCCGATAGCTGAGTAATTATCGTCGTATCCATGACGCGGAATGTCACCTTCCATCCTTCTTCTTTACAACACAACGCATACACAGACACATACACGCACATACATAGAGTCACAATGCAACGCTGTGCAGCCTTTATTCTACGTAACTCACTACGACAACGATCACAACTTGTACCAAGGGCTTCATTTGCCTTAAGAACTTGGGCTCCTCATGCACCACGAACGGTCCAATTCGCACGCAATCCATGGGCTTCTTTCCATACATGGCGGCCGTTGCAAAAGGAGGAACAAGACGAAAGCGTCGATCCCAAACAACAAATGCTTATTGGTTTCACTTGCGAAGTATGCAAAGAGCGATCGCACCATGTCATGTCAAAGCTGGCTTATACAAAGGGAGTGGTCTTGATCGAGTGTCCCGGCTGCAAGAATCGTCACTTGATTGCAGACAACCTCGGCTGGTTCCGAGACTCAGCGACGACTGTGGAGGATTTGGTCAAGGAAAAGGGAGAGGCTATTCGCAAGGTGATTGTGGATGACAAGGGCGTTGAGCATGAAGTGCCAGATATCATGGAATGGTTACCCGACATTAGCGAGGAAGAGCGTCTCAAGAAGGAAAAGGCACGCCAAGAAGCTGACAGGCTACGACAAGAACAAGAATCAAAGCAGGATCAGTAATGCCCATTGGGTATTACAGCTAGATGAGTCATACGGCACCTTTCAATATATACACACACACACACACCCTTGTCCACCCACAATAAACGACATCTAGAGTAACAGCCATCATGCCTCTTGTTCATTTCCATGCTTTTGTTACCCCCAATCGAATCAGTGGAAGGGCGCAGCATTATATACAATGGGGTCATTGGATAATGCCAAGGTGATACCAACGGTGGTTCTTCCTTTATATGTATCCATTGTGCAAGAACCCATGATACAATGAATGAGTTACACCACTTGATCTAAGATTATTTGGAAAAGGAAAGAATTCGGAGTGCACGTTCATAGAAGGAAGTTTGTATTACGTCGATAGAGGTGATGAATGATAAAGAGAATGTTCTTTTGGATCTAAGGCTATGGATGTGTGTGTGTGGCTGATATATGGCATATGGTAATTAATGAGTCTATAAGTTTGTGGGAGATGACAAGTAAAAGCTTGGAGGATTGAAGGGGGGGGTAGATGGTGATATTATGGTATGATACAATATGGGGCCGTTGCATGCATGCTGGTATTTACACATGGAAAGATGCCGAGGATGAGTGGAATACGCCTTTTGGTTCGATCAATAGGCTGAAGTAGCAGGGATGCGAATATCCGAGGAAGGTGGAGATGATGAAAAATAGTAGGTGAATTGCTCATCCTCGGGTGTGCTAGCAAGATATTGCTGGAGTTGTGAAAGCATCGTGTTGTCGTAAGGAAGTTCCTCATTCTTCCAGTTGCATTTTGAGCACTCGTAACGCACACGCATGTTGTTGGCAATGCGTTTGTTGAGAACAATAAGTTGCTTTTCGGAACGAGTCAACTGGACAGATGCGTGGTTCTTGCAACGTGGGCATGGATGAGATGCATGCTCTAGAGAGATCTTCTTTCCAGAGTTACCAACTAAAGACAAAACATGGTAAGATAACATTGTTGATAAACAACGACATCATGTCGATAACACTTACCAATAACGAAAGATCCCGGCATATTAAAGATTGGTATTATGGTTGCTTAAATGGGTGACAATAAACTTATAAAGGAGAATGTATAGGTGAAAAAGAATTATCTTTTGTCGGATGCTACCCCTATTTATAATCGAGCTTACTTTTCATTGTGGCAACGGGAAGCATAATGATAGGTGATGTCTCACATCCATAACACACCACGTTGTTTTCACTATCCGCCTTGTGCAACCGTGGAGAAATGGGAATCTTTCGCTCCCAGCAGGCTGGTCATGACGTTACAGCCATATCAATTTGGGGGGAGAGGGTTAAAAGGAGAGCGTAAGATATGGAGCGAATCGTACCATTAGCATTTACCCCGTTTTATCATGTATGTCATGGGGGCTGGAAGTAAAAAGATCAATTGGCTAATATCGATGCTACCATTTTACCCCTAATGTTTTGCCCTGAATGACATTAAACGTTGGTGGCGGGATACATTATTGCACCATCTTCAGGCACAACCAACCATAATCAAGCATCGCTGGTCTTTGGAACAAATGACCCATCTCCGATTTTCCCTTTTCTTGATTGCTTGTGCACTTCTTTCATATTCGATCGAATTGACAATGAATGTTAAATGGGTCAAAGCACAAACATCATCAATCATACAAAAACTCAACCATTGCATAAGGGGTTGTCTTGACACTATTACCAGGGATGGATGATGAATTGCCGCTGCTTTAGAGCCATTTTCATTATCTCAGTATTTCGTTCAGATGCTTCCCATCGGAGTAAGATAGTATGTTGGGCTCAGCGAAATTTGATCTGAATGCTTCCAATTAAACGTCATTCGTTACACTTTCCATACGGAGGGTGGAGTATATATATAATGCATGTGCGTGCGCAGAACCATGAAAGTGGGAAGCATGTTAAATAACACATGCATGACGCCATTTGATATTATGGCATGATCACCAGCATTACATCCATCCAAGCTTTTCTTCCTTCATACATACGATGAGCTCTTCTAATAACGTTGAATTCAAAGAACATCCCTGTATTACCTTCTCACGCTAATGCAATTTGTGTTTTGCGCTCTCCCAAACTCTTTTACCCCACTTTTTTTTGCCGCTCTTTGATGCTATCATGGATTGGACGGGAAACATGCTGGCATACAACCCTTTAAGCGGCGAGCAAACCTATGTACAATGATATCACAGACTTCTTTGGTGTGCTCGGCTGATTGTTGCCCGTAGCAACTTGCCTTCACAGACCGCCACCATATCCCTGGCACATGCCGTGTGCCTTGCCAAATAATAGGCTCACGTTGGACGCTATTTTTGTATCATGATTGCATACAATGACTCGATTATCGGCACGGGGAGATAGCGGAACGATGATAAAAACGTCAACGAATCCCATATTCCTGGTCAGCATAACAGGGACGCTTGCTTTATACATTCACCTAACCATTTATTGATGCTGAGTATCGGCTACAATATAAAGCGTTTGGTATTAGATATGCTACCCAGCGTTTTCGTTTATAACAACCTATGTCCCATTACTGAACATCAATCCACAAACGACATTTAATGACACCTTCATATAAGACTTGGTACAAAAGACGTCTCGTTACATGATAACAACCCCATCCACGGCCATATGGCAGTTGAGCCATCATACGTAATTTGGACACCTCGTAGCAAAAGCTACATCAAATTCTAAGGATACCCGCTAGAGGCGTCTCATGATGATCTATCATCTAGCGTATTTGATCTTTGCGCTTGTCGAGCTGATGCAGCTGTTGCTTGGCCAAACTTGGTCTCGATGAGTTTTGAAGGTACTCACCTGAGGCGTGTCAACAATAATAATGCTGCAATGCCGCCCGTTGTGAGCCAATGGATTAATGATTCACCGAGCCATGGTATACCGACGAGGGTTAATTATCCTTTTGATGGAGATATTGATGTACACTGATCCCTTTGTCCTTACTCCTATCGATTTACAACGTGATTTACCCTTGCCTACTAAATGGATTATACTCCATGAGCCGCTTACGGCAATGTTGCCAAGACCCAGGTTCTTGATAATAAAACTCAAGTGTGCCGAGTGCTGCTATATACTGCTGCACCTTATACCTATCATGAAGGCTATCACCAGCACCATTTTCATCATTATCTGATTATAGGTTACAGGTTTATTGGGAGTATTCAGGATCCTACGATCACCTTTTTCACGGATTTTCAACCTTTTCGACCCCCTAGTGATTGGATCTAGGTGAGCGTGTCGTGAGGTTAATTAAAAACTTACAATGCATGTGAGACTCATTGAAGCGTAAAACACAATGAGCACCTTGCCTGCAGCTTTTGACACTACTGCATGGACACAAAGCATTGCAGCCCACTCACATTATGCATTTATCAAACCAGCTGAAGCATACACTTCTATTGAGAGTGTCCACTGCCTTTACATGTATATCAATTTCAACCCTTTTGAGTGGTCACAAGGATCGATGACGATCCAAGTCATGCAAATTTCGGTGACCCCAGCATCTGAAACCTTTGGCTAATTCTTGTTTCACCCCGAAAGAGTTCATGCAGCGTAACACAAGCAAGGATAGGGTGTTTATTTAGAAGGGACGCTCATTCCTTTAAATAAGGCGGCAAGGAACAGCTATCAAAAAAGCCATCAAATTTGTCGATCTCATCCTTCATTTACCATAGCTTGCTGGCTATGCGGTTTTACATAGCATCACATAAAAAGTAGCACACCAAGCTTATCTGCACATGGTTGACATCTTTGAACACATGATGTGCTGTTTTTGCATATACGAGCTTCTCACATGATACTCCTCCTTTCAATGGGATCATTGTGTGTGGTGTTCAAGAAGAGATAAGGAAGCGTTTCAATGACGATGCTATGGTCCTTGGATCCATTGTCCTTTTAACAACCATAACACTTGTAAGATAGGTTGATTGATTGTTGCCAAGTTTTGGTAAAAGAGGAAAAAGGAAATATATGCATGGTCTTTTTTCAACCGTTTCTGGTCGAAAACGGACACCATGTGTCTCAAGAGGCCTGTAAACTTATAGCTTAATATCGCATATGGTATATTATGGATGCTTTAATAGTTCGGTGAATTACTGTGAACAAGGATCAGCATTCTTTGTGGAAAACAACCAAAGCCAAGGTGATTCCTAAGAGTAGAAACTAGGTTTATTTTTTTGGCCAATGACCCGGGATAATGGTTTGACCAATTTTAAAGGGTGGTTTTGATTATACTCTAGTAGGAAAGAGGAAGGGGTGGAATAAAACCCAAAGTCTTTATGTGTATGTGATCTATATTTGAATGCTGATAGACAATGGAACAACGATACAATGAATCAAAGGGAAAATAAGGAGATGTGCATGGTTGATAAACAGCTACGTGTGATGGATGGCGCTGTAACCAATCAAAATTGAAGGGCGGGACGATGTCACTAAATATTCTTTTACACGCAGCAGCTTTTGTGTTCGCCTTTCTCCGTACTTTTTCAATTCCACCCACATGTCTCTTCAATTGACTGAATTCGTCAAGCGGCCAGGTGTTGGCAAGGTTGGCAAACCCGTTCGTGTCCGTTCCAACTTCTTTGAAGTCACTTCTTTCCCCACTGGAAACATTCATCACTACGATGTCACCATTGATCCTCCAAGCGCTCCCCCAGCTCTTTATCGCAAGGTGTGGAAGGCCTTTGAAGACCAAGACGGTCAAGGTGTTTTGACTGGTATCAAGGCAGTCTTTGATGGTCGCAAGAACGCTTTCTCTCCTAAGGTGTTGCCTTTGGGTGAAGAACAAGCCAAGGCTTTCAATGTAAGTTTTGATTGGTTTGGTGTTTCATTTTCGCTGACAACTCACTCACTCACTCACTCACTCACTCACGTACTCTCTCTTTCATAGGTCACTCTCACTGACTCAGATGCCCAATCCAAGCGTGCCGGTGGTGGTGAATTCACCATTCGTATCAAGAAGGCTGGTGAAATCAACATGGAAGAACTTAGCCGTTTCCTCAATGGTCAAGCCTCTCAATCCAACAACTGCTTGACTGGTAAGTGTGGTTTGATCTTGTTGTTCATTCCTTGACAACATCTGATTAATCTTCCTCTCTACCATAGCCGTCATGTTCTTGGACATTTTGATTCGTCATGTTCCTAGCACCATGTATGCCACCGTTGGCCGTTCTTTCTACACTGATCATGACAAGCGTGCTTTGCCTGGTGGTGCCGAAGTTTGGCAAGGTTTCTATCAATCTGCTCGTCCTGGTGTTGGTAAGTACAACGATAAAATTTCTTCTCAAAGCGCGTTGTTGCTGATTCAGACGCGTCATAGGCAAAATGTACATCAACTTGGACGTCAGCGCTACTGCTTTCCATGAAGCTGGTCCTCTTCCAGGTCTTGTCGCCAAGTACTTGAACCGCCGTTCCGTTGATGAACTTCGTCGTGGTATCACTGATCGTGACATCAAGAAGCTTGAAAAGCAACTCAAGGGTTTGAAGATCGCTATCGTCCATCGTGGTGAAAAGAACCGCAAGTACAAGGTCACCAAGCTCACCCCAAGCCCTGCCGATCGTACCTCTTTCAAGGACCAAGACGGCAATGAGATGACCGTTGCTGCCTACTTTGCCAAGCAATACAACATGCGTCTCTCCTTCCCCTTCTTGCCTTGCGTTGTTGTCAAGCGTGATATCTTCTTGCCCATGGAAGTGTGTGAATTGCTCCCTGGTCAACGCCTCACCAAGAAGTTGAATGAAAAGCAAACCGCTGATATGATCAAGTTCACTTGTCAAAAGCCCCACGTTCGTGCCAACAAGATCAATCAAGGTCTCCAATTGTTGCAATACCGCAACAACCAATACTTGCAACAATGCAACATGACCGTCAAGCCTGAAATGACCACTGTCAACGCTCGCGTGTTGCCAACTCCTCAAATCTCTTATGCCAACAACGCTCCCGATAGCACCTTTGCTCCTCGTGATGGCGCTTGGAACTTGCGTGGCAAGAAGCTCGCACAAGGTGCCGTTTTGGGCTCATGGTCTGTTGTCAACTTTGCTTCTCAAGTGCCCATGCCTGCTATTCAACGCTTCGTTCGTGAGATGAGTCAAACTTTCATTGATACTGGCTTGGTAAGTTTTCTTTCACACGACAACACGCGCGCGTGTCTATTTTTCAGTATTGACGTAATTTTTTTATAGAATGTTGTTAACCGCACTCCTCCCATCACCAATGCTGACCCCAACGGTAACATCGACCGTACGCTCAAGGAAGCTTGGCTCAAGGCTGGTAACGCTGCTAAGGCCAACCCTCAATTGATCCTCTGTATCTTGCCCAACACTGGTACTCCTCTTTATGCTGAGATCAAGCGTATCTCTGATACTGGTACGTAATCGGGGTCACGAAAAAAATTCGGACAAAGGAAACGCGTAAACTTACCCTTTCTTTTACTAGTCATTGGTATCCCTACTCAATGCGTCCAAAGCAAGCACATCGCTGATGCCAAGAAGCAATACTGCGCCAACGTGTGTCTCAAGGTCAACATGAAGCTTGGTGGCATGAATTTATACTTGTCTCCTCCTCAAATTCCTTTCATCTCTCAACGCCCTACTATCATCTTTGGTGCTGATGTCACCCATCCTGCTCCTGGTGATATGAATCGTCCTTCCGTTGCTGCTGTCACCGCAAGTATGGATGCTCGTGCTTCTCGCTATGCTAGTGCCATTCGTGTCCAAGCCAACCGCACTGAAATGATTGCTGATTTGGGTAACATGGTCAAGGAACTCCTCAAGAGCTTCTATCAATCTTGTGGTCAAAAGCCCGAACGTATGTTGTTCTATCGTGATGGTGTCTCCGAGGGTCAATTCTCTGAGGTCTTGCACAGCGAAATTAAGCAAATCAAGGGTAAGTGACATTATCATCATTGTTGTCAAGAGCCTATCACTCATCATCATCATTTCTTTTACATAGATGCATGTGCTTCGCTTGATCGATCCTACAAGCCTACTATCTCTTTCGTTGTCGTTCAAAAGCGTCACCACGCCCGCTTCTTCCCCATGGAACAACGCGATGCTGATCGTTCTGGCAACTGTATGCCTGGCACTGTAAGTCCCATGATGATTCCTTTATTATGCACGTTGACTCATAGTTTTTATCTTTAATAGGTTGTCGACTCCACCATTGTTCATCCCTTCGAGTTTGACTTTTACTTGCAATCTCATGCTGGTCTTCAAGGCACTTCTCGCCCTACCCACTACCACGTCTTGTATGATGAAAACAACTTCACCCCTGACTCTCTTCAAGAATTGACTTATCGTCTCTGCTACATCTACGGTCGTGCTACCCGCGCTGTTTCTATTGTACCACCCGCCTACTATGCCGATTTGGTTGCTGCCCGTGCACGCTTCCATCGTCGTGGTGAAAACTGGTCTGATACTGAGGCCACTTCTGAATCATTGGATCCTGAGCAACAAATGGCTTCCTTCGCTGTTGTCAAACCTGAATTGCAAAAGGGTAAGTTGATTGGACAAGGATGGTGGTTTCATGGATTACAAGTTGGCTCACTCATGGTTTTTCGTTCTTTTAGTCATGTATTACATGTAAAAACTTTTATCGATCATTGCTTTGATTTCTCCTTTGATTTCCTGGGAAAAAATATATCTCTTTCACATTTGCTACCAATAACAAAGCTAGCTTTTCTTCTACTTCTTCTACCAAAATGCACACCTGTTTGAAAATAAGATAAAAGGGTTAATGATTGTGAAATGGGGGATATGAATGATCGATGGGAATATACTAACCAGCCGATGTAACATTGACACAGATTCTCTAATGAGGTTGCTTGTTGAATGAGCTTGTCAACTTGGGTCCTTACATCCAGAGTAACACGAGGATTGAAATCTCGACCTGTTAGCTTATTGGAAACGCGTGTGACCACAGCTACGGCTCTTGTATTAAGTGTCTCGGGACCTTGTGCGTTTTCTTTTAGAGAGAACGCGTGAGCAAAACATTTGTGTGTGTACGGGCCCTGATGATTCAAAACATCCCACTTACCATTTGCAACAGCATCCACTTCAATACGGTTGAAACGTCGACTTGCAGGGAAATTACGATGGCTTTCTTCCGGTAGCTCTTCACTTGCAACGCGTTCCATACTTCGCACATCTAAATGAATGATGATATATCAAGGTTAATCAATAAAGTTCACTCTACGTACAAATTCACGCCAACAACCTACCTCGATTTTGTGCAGGGCTGACGTTGGTATTATTCAATAAGCGCCAATTGATCAGTGGATCATAGACAAAGGCTTCGAGCACGGCCATCAAACTTTCCTTGTTATCGCGTAGGACACGCATAACATGCTCACATGTAGTTCTAAAGTTGCCTTCGATACCGCTGACTTCCATCGCCTTGACCAGCATGCGTGTTAATCGGAACGGGATCTTTTCAGGGAACTTTTCCCGATGCATGGCCACTTCAAAACAGTCGCCAAAATCAATGTGCACCACCTTGCCTGTGACACGGTGTAACATCAAGTTGCTTGGATGTCTATCACCAAGACCCAAGATGTATCCCACCATCGACATGACCGCCAGCGATCGCGTATAATTGGTACGTCGGTCAAGCCATGCTTCCGAATTGCGACTCTTGAGCCAAAGGACGCGGTACAAATCTTGGCCACTGGTCTTTTCAAAGGCAAATTGGAACACTTCCACTTTTTGTATCACCGTCAGATTATCATAATCGGGAGCCATCTGCAACATGAGCCTATGCTCAATATTGAGGAGGATCTTGCGGCTGTCACGATAGTCACGAATAAGAGCATGCAATGTATCGGTATCAGGCACCCATCCGATCAAACCAGAATTGGGCGAGAGTGGCACAGCGGGATAACGTTCAATATTCAAATGTCGTTTGAAGGTCTCGGGATCATTCTTGAGCAGCGTGTTCACAAGACCAAACAATTGCATGACACGTTCATCTTGTCGCAAATCCTCATGGCCCTTGAGCAAATACATGTAATCCTTGCCATCGCTGCCGATAATAGTCAACTTGCGAGGTCGTTGTTTGGAAGGAATCACCGTCAGGCTTGGATTGAATTTGGCAATGCGTACAATCGGTTCACCGCTGCGATAATATCCAGGCACACACAACTCCAAATCACGTGCCCTTAGTAGTCGAGGAGAAATGTATTGCAATTCGAGGCTTGTCAGCTGTGGCAATTGGCGTGATATACGTCTGAAAACTTGATAATAGAGCTCCCAGGCCTGATTAAGATTGTTGAGATCACGTGTCTCTTGGTATCGTCGGCACCATTCTTGTGCCTCTTGCAAGTCTCGTCCAAACGCTTGTACAAATGATTCCTCTCGCATTGTCTCAGGTCCACGATCCAACATTTGATGTAACGGCTCCAATGTCGCAAACATGGCATCCACATTTCGGTCACCAAAGTATAAACGTGAAGCTTCTTCAAGACCTTCGTGCCACATTTCATGCCATAGAATAGCCACTCGAATAAGCTCTTGACTCACCATCAACGCCTGTACAACATAATAATTAATACCATGCATAAATATGCCTCTTGTTTGTTTACCTGATCAACAAGCGTTGCACTATGAAGACGCATTCTATCCATGATGTTGAAGGTTGCTCGTCGGCGTATAGCACTTTGTGATTTGGATGCGACTGTCAACGAATAGACAAGTGCTTGAGGATGTTCACGTCCAATATCAGTGAGCAAGTCATGAATAAGGCCACGCACAGTAGCATTGGGAGCATGAATACGTGCAATGAGCTGAGGAATCACTTGAAGCCATACGTCAATGCTGATGGTATCGAAGCCTTCACGAATAGCGTTGCTAACATCAGCTTGATATCCATATTTGAACCAGAGCGTAAGTAAACGCAATGTGTCTTGGAGCGAGCTTTCCTTTGAAAGTGCAATCGATCGGAAAAAGCCTTGAACAGCAGGCACAACATGCAAGTTGAAAATCTGAGGCGGTAGCTGATCTTGATGCAACTTCTCATTGTAATCAATGATCTCGAAATTGGCAAGCGCCCATTTGTGCCATGCCTTATACCAATTTTGATCGAATCGTGTAGCCAACAAGAATGATCGGAGGATATCTTGGATTGAATCTTCGGTCAACTCATAGGAAAGTGCTCGTTGCCATTCGCCTTGACGCAAATAACATCTTGCTAATAAACGTGCATATTCAACGGCATCCGCTGGAAGCAATGTTGGATCGATAGGTAAGCTGACAGCCATTTCATCAGGGTTCAATCGAAGGTCTTGAGTATTCCTGGCAGTGAAATCACGCAAAATGCTAAGTGCCTGGTTGCGTACAGCTGATGCTTCTTCAGGTGATGTAATTTGTGATGCGGAGTGCCACTTGTGCTTCAATTGGGCATAAACAACCTTGGCATTTGGCTCGCCTCTGCTATTGATGGTAGCTTGCATGAGACTACGCAATGTTGACTCTGAAAGCGAGAATCGTCCACTCTTGCGACAAAGGTTGGCAAACTTGATCCACATTTCCATGTCATCTTCAGGTGAAACCACCATAGCTCGAACACGCAAAATACGTTGCCATACTTCAACATTGCGTTCACATCCTTCCAAACGTTTAACCCATGTTCGTCGAATGGCTCTTTGCTTTTCAGAATCTTCTCGTGGTCGATCCGAATCGCTGCCAGCTTGCTTGTAAGCAATCATTTCCTCAAGCTCGGCCAACATTTGTACACGCACGACTGTAGCATAGGCACGGCTATAGCTTTCACCAAGCAAAGCGGTCAATTCGGTATCCAAAAGATCACGTGTCTTTGAAATGAATGCTTCAGCCTCAGCATATCGATTGCGGTGCATGGCAAGGATAGCACGGAAGAATGTGCGATCAGGACTCTCAGGCTTGAGTAAAGCAATGTACTCTTCCATTTGCTCCCATTGACCCAAGCCCCATGCTGCTGCTGCTGCCAAAGGTGCCATGTTTTTACGATTCTCAGGTGGTGCATGAATCCATTTCTCTTGTGCAAGCGTAGCAAGTTGTTCCCATTCACCAAGAGCATGCAAACATCTCATACGACCCATAGTGATTTCCATCGAGTTGGGGTTCTCGCGTTGTTGTGCTTCATAGGCATCGAGAGCGTCCTGATAGCGGTGCAACTTTTCAAGCCATGATACTTTACGTTCCAATTTCAGCGAATCTTGTGCAAAGGTAAGAATACCCATAGCAGCATCGGGTTGTTGCAACAAGTTGTTGATAGACATGAGCATCTCAACAGCCTCAAAGGATTGTTCAAGGTGGAATTCCATTTCCTTGTAGTGCAACGCCTTGGCATACGCGTGACATTTCTGAGCATAGATGGCAAGGGTCCTTATATCGATAGGTAGCGTCTTATTGTTGTTGTCATGCTCCATAAACTCAGCCAAGTGCAACAAGATCTGAATGATTTCAGGTGGGATGTTGGGTGCCTTGAGTGCCGTTTCCAAAGATGCGACCAATTCATCCTTGTATTGATCGTAAAGCTCATACCAACAAGACACGAATGCTGCATTGAATAATTCTCGGGCCAAAGGTGTGTATGCGCTAGCCAAGAAGACGCAAGCTCGAAGAGCGTGTGATGGCGACTGCTTCAAAAGCTCTACACTCAAGCGACGAATCCATTCCATCCAATCTTCCTTTGTTGATCGCTGTGATGCCTCCCAAGCCTTCTTCAAATGCTGTTGATTGACGGGTGGTTTCTTTGCTGCGCTCAAATCAGCTGAAGGAGTCTCATCTGCTCGTATGTCACTATCAAGAAACGAAAGCATTTAGTACCATCACCAAGTTGCAAGCATGATATTGATGCTCACCGATCATTAAGCGTCTTTCCTAATTCTTGAGGAAGATTCTCTCCTTTCAACAATTTGCCCACCAGCAGCTCATAGTTTGCATGTGATATCCGATGTTGAGTTAAGACCTATAGGTGGCATTAATACCAATAGCATCCATATTGAAAAAAACGACATTACCTTATTGATGGCAGGAATGAATTTTGCATAATCAGTACCAAGTTGGAAGATAAGAGCACAAAGAAGATCCATGGCAGCATTGCGAGTTTCCAATGGCAAGGTAGGTAATACACGAGCAAGTGGATGGATGATGCGGGATGCATAATCAAACATGTTGACACGCTTGGACAAGGCAGTAATTGTTGTGAGAGCTTCACGGCGGACATTGACAGGTGCATCGGGCTTTTCAAACAACTTGACAACAACGGGGATAACCAAATGCATGTACTCTTCAATGTTTGCACCAAAAATGACAAATGCATGGAGAACCTTGGCGGTGGGTTGACGTCGTTCACTTGTATCATTGTCGAAGATCTGTAACATGTGGGGGAGTAATCGAGGCAAATAAATCTTGAGTTCACCATCGAGGGCTTTGGCAATGGCTTCAATGAGGGAGATGATGTTGATTTGAAGGGACGATACGGGCATCCAGTATTCATCAATCAAGTCGAAAATGTCCTTCAAGTAATTGCGGATGTGTTGCTTGACAATGGTCACCAAATCACCCAGCTTGTGAATGTACATCTCAAGCATACTCGCATTGCATGATCGCATTAATGACAAGAATCCAGGAACAATGACAGGTAAAAATTGAACGACCTTGAGACCAAGAGAATTGAATATGTACATGACAGCCTCGATAGCCGTATGATGATGTGCTGTCAAGGAAGGATCCTTTAGGATTTTCATCAAGGAATGCATCACAACTTGTGGATAATAGTCTTCTGAAGAGGGACCAATACCCATCATCAACAACGTGACATCATTGCTGGCAAGCTTGGTATCGGCAAGAGCTTCACTTGATGTTTCAATGGCATTCATCTATAATACCAATCTTAGTAATAAAGAACAAAGGATGAAAAAGATCATCTTACCTTGTGTCTGTAAGGATCCAAAGCACCAAGAATACCCATGAGTTTAACCGTTTCACGTCGAATTGCCACATTTTGCTCGGCCTTAAGAATGCCAATAAGGATATTGAGAAGAGCAGGATACTTCATATAGGGCTCAATCACAAAGCCGGTGTTGCTTGCTAATTGGCCTAGCGTTCGTAGAGCAGCGTCCCGCTTTGCACTCGAGCTTTGATCTTGAAGAGTCTCCATGATCAACGGCATCAATTCATCCAAATGTGGTATCAAATCTTCACCGCTGACAGCTGCCAATTCGCCAAGCGCACCAAGAACGGCTGAAACAACACCCGGTGATGAATCACGAGCTTTTGGCATAAGGACTTTGAGGATTGGTTCAATATAAGGGCGCGTCAAACGTTGTGCTGCTCCCACCAATAGCGAGACTAAACGAGCTGATTCTTCCTTTTGTCTGCTGACGACCGAATATTCCAATTCTGTCAAGAGCTGTATCAAAGTCTTGCGTAAGGATGGCATTACATAAGCGGGGTTGTAGGTTGTCAATCGGCCGATAATAGTGATAGCAATTTCACGGATAGCAAACACCTCGTCGTTCAATGCAATAAAAAGAGATCGAACATTATCAGCTTGTGCAAGATGGCGGTCAAAGCGAGCATCGAGTGATGAAAGCACCGTTTCACGAATCACTGGATCTGGGTCTGCAATACCCACTGTCAACAGCTTTTCCAATACTTCACCAACGACCTTGATAGCATGTGCACTTGTCTGATTGCATATAGGATCACGCACAAAGAGTTGACAACACGTGACAGCTGCCGCTTTTCGTACTTCGGGAAAGTCGTCGTCGAGGTAATTCACAATGCAGTCGCGTACAAACTCGTTCAAAACGTGATTTGAAAAGTCGAACCATCCAAGTGTCTTTAAGGCGTGAACAATAACATCGTGCTCCTTTCCATCAACCGTTCCTCCCTCGCGTATAGGACGTTCAGCTGTTTGCATAATGTTGCGATTGGTCGGTGCTCCAGGTTGCTTGTAGGGTTGTCCACATAGCGTAATAGAGATCACATTCAAAAGGCGATCTATAGGCAATATGCATTAGTATCCAATCCCATCCTATTTCTAGCTATTACGACATACCTTGAATGGTCCTTGATAATGGCTTAATGCGTTCACTGATATTACTAAGAGCTTGCACCAACGGCTCCGATAAGCCGCAATTGAACATCAAATCCAAAAGGTCATGCATATGCTTCGTCAATGCTTGGCCAACCGCAGTTGCTAACTTGCTGACGCAATAAAAGCTGGCAGCCTCGATCTCTTTACGTTGACGACTATATTCGGTATGAATATTAAATATAGATCATCCAATGAATAAATTTATACTCACCCCTTTACAGATAATGATTCCTTGACAGCCATAAGCGTTGATGAAAGATATGGGTTCATATTGCTCTTGACCTGGACAGCAACGTCACCAATGGCAATGAATGCTATAGAGCATGTTAGTATCATGATGCATTTGAACATACATACAAGGCTGATACTTGCCATCACGTTTATCCCTATCCTTTCGTAAGAGGCCCAAGAGATGTTGCATGCATCGATTGAGATATTCATGTGCAAATGTATCGGGATCAAAAGCAGCCAATGTTGGGATCATGGAGACAACCGTTTTGCGAATCAAATGATCTCTATGATTCATCCTGTCCAATGTGCTATCGCACACCTTTTGATAATTATCCGTCATAAACTAAAAGGGGGGGTGCATCATGATTAGCATACATGCATTGCATTCTTCTCATCCTTTCCTTTTACTACCTACCATGCCAGCATGCAACAAGAGTTCTCTCATGGCTAATAAACTAGCATGTGTTGTTTCTGCTGTGTGCAAATGTAGACCCTTATTTGCCTCACTCCAGATCTTCTTGTACCACGTTTGTCGTAAGGGCGTTTCACGTCGCTGAACGATTTCCAGACACTGACTTAGACAATCGGCTGCATTTTCACGTATGATTTGTCGAGGATCACGCAATGCCACCCATATGAGTTCGAGGATACGATGGACGTATGCATAAATCAAGGTGGGAGTGTTGACGGCAAGTTCACGAAGGACCAATACGGCACCAAGACGACTACGATCTCCATGGAGCCATTCAAGAGCATGTTCCACCTGAGTATCCACAAGATCGGCTGTGAATGTGGATGAACTAGCTGCGAGACGACCCAAAGCACGAGCTGCAGGAATCATGACTTGAGCATCATTGTAAGGAAGCATGATACGTAGATAGTTGTGAAATCGGTTGGCGTTGCCATCAGGTTCCAAATCAATCAATCGATCTATACACAAGCAAGGTATGAGAGAAGACGTCTTGACGGAATCTTTTTTCATATATACCAATAGCAGCAATAGCTCCCAACTTTTCATTATTGTCGCTGCCATGGGTCAATTCAGCAATGCGTTTGTTGATATCATTGGTAAATCGTGCAAGGCTCTCGTCGGATAGCTCTCTAGCTGCGGTTGCCACCTGACAAGTAGTTGTTGTGGTAGAGTCAGCATAATGATGGGACCCATGGGGTGGTGCATTGGTAACTCACCGTTTCACGCAACTCTTCAGCTGCTTTTTGTCGACGGTCTTCATGTCTATTGTCGAATGTTGGTGAATGGATAATATTGGGACAAGAGAGTGTGCGTCATGTACTTTGATTTGAGTTCGATGAATATTCTCGTGAGATTTTCCGGGCTGTTGAGTGCTGCGACAACCACCATGTTGAAGAGGAGGCGGTGTAAACAAGGGTATAAAAGGTGTAAAAGATGTTAAAAGAGTCGACTACTCTCAACTCGACAGCCTTATTGTCCCTGCGTTTGCAAGAAGAGAGATAGAGGGAAAGAGGTTAACAGTGAATGAATAACGCTAGCTGAGCATCCTATCTATCTATAGCTTTGAACCTCCGAGTGGTGTAATACTCGCGTGTCATAACATGCATGCTGGGAATTCTGACACTGTACAACGTCCTCTTTGCAGGAAATCATGAGTTTACTTTTTATTACAATGAAATTACAAATGCTTAGTTGTTTTCCTCGGGCTTCATGGCAGGGAAAAGAAGCACCTCCTATAGACATACATAATTGAGTTAATCACCCATTCCACCTTTCTATACACATATACACAAATAAACATACCTTGATATTGTTGGAGTTGGTCAAGAACATAGTGAGACGATCAATACCCATACCCCAACCACCAGTGGGTGGAAGACCAAATTCAAGAGCCTGGCAGAAGTTCTCATCGATCATTTGAGCTTCATCATCACCAGCATCCTTATCCTTGGCTTGTTGTGCGAAACGCTCACGTTGATCGAAGGGATCGTTCAACTCGGTATAAGCATTGCACACTTCCTTGGTGGCAACGAAAAGTTCGAAACGTTCACAAAGACCTTCACGCTCACGATGCTTCTTGGCCAAAGGCGACATCATCATTGGGTGACCCATAATGAAAGTGGGGGAGATACAGCTTTCTTCAATGAATTCACCAACAAGCTTGTCAAGAAGACGAGCATTGGTGCGAGGAGCAGAGCAATCAACATTGTGCTTGATGCAGAGATCGGAAAGGAACTTGTTGGTCTCATCGGTATCCAATTCGTTGGTAGGAGGGAACTTGACATTAAGCTTCTCTTCAAGAGTCTCGATCATGTCGACACGGCGGAAGGGAGGAGTGAAATCAATATCCAAAGGTGCGCCATCAGGACCATCAGGGTGGTATTGAATCTTGTAGCTGCCAAAGAGGCTCTTCACCATACCAGACAAGAGCTGCTCAGTCAACTCCATCACATCATACATATCAGCATAGGCCCAGTAGAACTCGCAAGTAGTGAATTCGGGGTTGTGGGTAAGATCGATACCCTCGTTACGGAATTGACGGCCGATTTCATAGACACGATCCAAACCACCCACAGTCAACATCTTGAGGTACAATTCGGGAGCGATACGCATGAACATGTCCAAGTTGAGGTCATTGTGATGGGTGACAAAAGGCTTAGCAGTAGCACCACCAGCAATCATGTTCATCATGGGAGTCTCGACTTCAAGGAAACCACGTTCATCCAAAAACTTTCTCAAGTAAGAGATGATCTTGGAGCGAGTGATGAACTTGTCACGGACATTGTTGTTCATGATCAAATCAAGGTAACGTTGACGATAACGCAATTCCTGATCCTTGAAACCATAATGGGCCTTGGGCAACATACGCAAGCAAGGGGACAAGAGTTGGATCTGCTTGGGGAAAATGGAAAGCTCACCACGCTTCGTCTTGCCAGGAACACCACGTACACCAACAACATCACCACGGCGAAGCAAATCGTGGATGCTGGTATAATCATCACCTTCGTTGTCTTGGGCAGAAGCCATGATTTGGATCTTGACACCATCACCGTGGAGATCATAGAATCGGAGCTTAGCACCAGAGGCACGCTTGTTATGGATACGACCAGCAACAGTAACAACAACATCGTCGTTACGTTCACCAGTAGCAATGTCGCTGTACTTTTCAATAAATTCAGGGATAGTCATCTCCACTTGGAACTTGTGAGGATAGGGATTGGGGCTCTTGTCTTCACGACGTGCGAGAATGGTCTTGCTGCGAAGCTCAAAGTATTGCTACACACACAATTTGCCTATTAACCTACTATTCTCTTCCAATTCATTCCTCTTCCTCTTCCTATACTTACGTTGGGGTTAAGCTCATCCTCACCCTCTTCAGCATTCTTGGGCTTAGAAGCAGTGGCAGGGGCGCTGGCAGCCTTAGCAGCCTTGGCTGCTTCCTTTTCACGTTGCTTTTGGCGTCTCTTGAATTCGCTGTGGTATTGAGAATCAGCAATGAGGTCCCATTGACAACAGGTCGACAATGGCTACTTACGACTTGGAGATCATTTCTCCAGTGACGGGGTCCTTTTGCAAGTTCTTTTCATTCGTAGCTGCAGCTGCTTGTGCTTCTGTTCCTGACATGATAGCGGTGCAAAGAGTGATCGAATCGACGATAATCACAGTAAAATTTTATAAAAAGAAGCTCCGATGAGTCATTGTTGTACTATTGGTTTATTGATACACATTATTGCTGCGCCTAAAACACTTTGAAACCTCATCTACCAAATCCCAAACACTCTCTTCAGCCATATATTCATCATAGCGTTGGCTCATTGGTTTCCATTCCTCATCCACGTTGGGTGCGTATTGAAAATCAGGCCCGAAGTTACATGTGACCATGCCACCCTTGTACACACTGACTGCGGGATAGTAGCCAAGTGTTCCATCATCCTCAATAGGTGGATCATCGTTCCACTGCTGATGTTTGACCCCATCAAATCCGTCTTCTTCCTCCATCCTCACTGGTGGACCCTCTTCTGTGGTTTTTCTTTGCTTTCGCCGTTTCTTGGTTCGCTTGTTGTTGAGCACCGTCTCGGGTAATCTTCCGAAATCCTCATAGTCGATCAAATCCGTAAACATGACACCTTGGCAAACGCCATTCTTGTATACTGTTATGGATGAACCAGGGATGGTCTTTGGCTGATAATCAATCTCGCTCTCTTTGTTGTATGGATCTGCAAGGGCCTCCATTTCTTTGCTTGCTCGATAATCCTTCTCTTCAAACCATAAATGCTCCTTGTATGCGATTGGGATCCGTTTCCTTGATGCACTTTTGAATGTCTCTGGTTTACGAGGTGGTAATCGAATGTATAAACCAATGACATCTCCCGTCTCAAATGGCTCGCCAAACTTTTGTGGTCGTGAGCAAAACAGCTTTTCCCCTGTTCGATCTCGGTATCCATAGCCATAAGCATCATATCCAACAGGTGCATTTAAGCAAGCTACATCATGCATAAATATATAAATTAGATCACGTGACATCATGGCCAAATAAAAACGCATCCATCAATACTTTACCTTCACGCCTAGCCCATCCAATACGCACATGAGGACCATCCGCATTGTTGCTACCCTGTGCATTCTGGATAACAGCTTCCCAATACCAATTGCCTTCTTTCACGCCAACATTTGCACGACACATCCGAAATCCTTTCTCTGTTGCCACTGTCAAGCCATCTTTCGCCACCGAGACATAAGGGCTTTTGTCGGTAATACTGATTGTGCATCCTTGGTCGTTGTCACTTTGCTGGTATGCTACGAGAGGAAGCAATGATTGCTTGCATGGGATGTATTTGAATCCGAAGCGATTGAAAGGATGATCGGTGACTGCCGAAGATGATGGAAATCCAGAAGCAAGAGCATTGGTTGGAAGTAAAGGTGATCCACCTCGAGGGGATGGTGTTGTGGTGGGTGTAGTTGAGCGACGTTGAATATCAGTACGTGGCATGATGGGTCGTGCATCTGCTGCAGCTGGTGTCGATGTTGATGACATTGATTCTGATTTCCTCTTTTCCTTAGGGACACGTGGTGCTGATGGAGGAGCCTTGACGTTTGACTAAAGAAAATGTAATGTTAGTAGCCTATAAATGAATAACAAAAGAGGATACAAACCTGAGGTATGCTGGGTCTTATATGCCATAGATTTGCATCTGCCAGGCAAAAGTCTGATGCTGCTGATCGTTGACGTTCATCACGGGCCACAAATGTATCTTTGGATGAATAGAGACAACTTCCCAATGTCGCCCACCTATTCGATAAACCAATGAGTATGAATGAGACATTGTCATGTGATACAAATGATTCACGTACCAAGTGGTTGTCCTTGCCCGCTCCGTACAAATGCTCTTCCAATGTTTGTCGACAAAGGGTATAATCTCTTTTTTGTTGAAGTAATATTGCTCTGGATTCCATTCAAACATCAACGCTGCATTCTTGCTTTCAAACAAGTCTCGATCCTCAGTGCCGACGCGATATAAGATCTCCTCAAGTATCAGGTTGGCTATTGTCGTTGAGCAAATATCCTTCCATCCAGCCGTCGTTCGTTCAAAGCTCTCCACATGGTTATCTCCACAATGGTGACAGACGAAGACATAGTTGGTCGTAAAGAGCAGATCGGGTGGATTACTCACGGATGTGCATTCAGCATGGAACCAGTTTCGGCAATCTATGGGTGGGTGTTGTTGGTGCTTCCACTCTAAAAGTTTGTATCCATTGAGAACTTACAGCGACATTGCAGAGCTATTTCTAAGAGATTTCTGTCTTGGCCACAGTAGCAATAGGAATGCTCCAAATTGATAGTATGTGTATCGTTCCAGGGCAGTGTGTGGTCTTCCATATCAAGCGCGGTAGTGAAGAAAGGCTCAGACAATCTACAATTTGTACCTCCATGACCCGATCACAATCACTACATATTCTACATCACATATAAAATGATACGTTTTGCCATTATCCCCATATCAATCAATGTATGCTGCTAAAAGACAAATGTTCAAGGACCTAATGTGCTACAAAGGTATGTTTGATGAGCAAAGATAGCCATTAAATAGCATGCTGTCAAAGGATGTTTCACAAACATACATAATAGCCCCATCATAAGGGTGATCTACCAAGCCGTTCAGAGGGTGAACTTTGCACAATGACACCTTTCCACATGGACTACTTGGGCTTGCTTATAGTCATAGTAGAACAAGGGGGCACTTGGTCTAATGCACATGGTGACTTTATTACTTATAAACCTCTTGCTCATTGTAAAACTTTCATTGTATGTGAGGGCAGCACCACTCTTACCTCAAAGATGATGGTGGAGATATTTCTTTATATGGAAACCAAAAGTGAATCATGATAATGCAATCATGGCAATGATGACGCCATCACATGTCAACTTTTTCATGTATTAGACTAGTTTTAACAATGAGCATAAAGGGATGAAGGAAGAAGGTAATCATACACTCCGGGAATGGATGCTAGAGTAGCAAACAAAAGCATTGTGAGAGCTTGATGATGATGGAAGGAAGCGGAGCTGAGGCGGCGGTGTTGATCATGCGGATATACACACGAGAACAAGATCGATATCGAGAACAGCGCTTTTCTTCCACTATTATGAAGTTGCTAACACCCGTTCTCATCGCCGTATTGGCTACACTGTCAAGTGCTGCTACCATTTCTCCTCAATTGTATATTCAAAGCCAATCCCCCCATACTACATCAACCGATCTTATCAATGTGTGCGGCAATGGCAACGATTTATTGACGTAAGCTCTTTCAGAGGATAGTTCTTCCTAAAACTAATACACTATCTATCTACATATAGCGTCAAGGATATCACTCTTACTCCTGATCCACCACAGAAGGGTCAGAATCTTACCATTGATTTCAAGGGTAAACTGAAGGAAGAGGTGCCCGAGGGAACATCCGTATTGGTGCAAGTCAAGTATGGTGTGGTGCAGCTTATCAAGAAGAAATTCGACTTTTGCGAAGAAGTGAAGAAGGTGGATGAAGAATGTCCTATTCCTGCTGGCGACCTTGTGTTTACCAAGCAAGTTGGTCTCCCCAAGGAAATTCGTAAGTCTTTTATTGTCACTCTTTTGGCATAGCGATAACTCACATTCTATCTTACTACTTTAGCTCCAGTAAGCTCAAAAAGAGAAATAAGGTTAGGTAGTGGGTAATGTAATTAATTTGGATGTTTAATAGGGTCATTATTCTGTACATGCTGTTGTCACTACTCCCGATGGTGCTCAAGTCACCTGCTTGGATGGAAAAATGAGCTTCCCCCGCAAGTAGAAGATTTCCTACCTTAGATTCAGCTGACATTCTCCTCCACCAATATCTCCACTATTAAATGTGCTACCCTAAATATTGTTGCCACTTTATCAATACCTTACTACAATGGTCCACGTGTTGTATATATGAATCCGTATAAAAAAGCATCAACGAAGTCATGGTAGATCTTCACAAAGACCAAGCTTATCCTTTCCAGTAGTATCCATGCTCGTATCCCATGGCAACACTCGTTGTCTCATTACTGTAGCAACCCAACATTCGTATACGAAGCAACACCTCAACATCATTTGGAACCGGGATACGTGCATGAAAAGACTTTTATTGGATGGCAAGAATCTTCGTACTAGAAAAGGGACGTCCACATCATGTGTTTCAATGATACGTGTAGAAAGCTTTTTATCTGTCTAGTAAAAGAAACATGATACTCAATCAACATGGATGTCATATGACTGAAGGAATTGGACATGGAAAAACAGAAATACAAAACGCTTCTTTTTTATATTGTAGAAATTGAGGAAAACTAGGTTGATTAAAAGCCGGAACGAACACGCATGTCTTCAATCTTCTTTTGCACTTCGCTCACTGTTCGATCGAGTTCTTCAGCAATCATGCGCTTCTTATCTGATGGCAGAGAGTTGTACTGCTCACAGAGGTCGCCATCGACGACAGATTTGACGGGTATGTAGAAGCTTCGATAACTAAGATGATCACGGCCGGCCAAAGGAGGTGCTTCTGATCGCATATGCATTTCAAGCATTTGGAAGAATTCGACGTCTTCACGTGATACAAATGGTACGAAAATGTTGATAGATCCAAGCAATGTTGTAACAAGCAAAACTTCGCGTCCACCCGATAGCAATGTTGTACGATGTAAAGATGTGATGATATCACCCAAAAAGTATTGGCAAACATTATCCACCTACACAAAGAGCCGATAAAATCAATATCCTTATCCATACCTCGTATCCATGCAACCAAAAATCTTACCTTGTTTGGAGCGCCTTGGAGATATCCCTTTTCATGCATGATACGACTTCCAGTTGTATCCTCGTCTACGTCGTGACTGATATTCGTTGGCAGTCGATTCACAAAAAAGTTGCCGAATTTGTCACCACCAGCCACTGTGTCATAGTCAACCATCGTAGACGCCGTCGTCCAGCGCGGTGTCGTGTCGTCTGCAAATACTAGGATTCGGTTGTCCTTATGTATATATACTGCATAGTGCATCGACTCTTGTACATCAGTCATGATAATGCGATCACCTTGCGTGTGTAATGAGACGACCACATTGGGAATACTCTACATACAATATCATCACGTGAATAGGGTAATCCTTGCATGAATGTTGTCAATTGACTTACTCTAGTTTCACTCTTTCGAAGCAACTTCTTACGACCCACGTCATACAAGCGAAGTGCTTTGCCAACACCAGCCAATACTCTTCCTTGGAAACCCAAAAGCGCAGTGGGTACATCCTCCACCTCCGTCTTGTGTACCAGCTCTAGTTGGGGTCGACCTTCTTCATTTTGACCAAACTTGTACACGTGCAAATAACCAGCTGAACATGATCGTGGAGCAAGTTGGACATCCTTGGCTGTACCCACAACAACAAATTGTTCTCCTGCTTGTGTGGTATGTACATTGGTCCTGAATTGCACCATCGCCACGCTGAATGCTGCTTCATTGTCCTCCAACTCGATCAATTGTAACGTCTCACCACTGAAAGGATCCAATAATCGAATGCAACTAGCCCATTTGCCGGCAACATTTCTGATATGTCCAAATTGTGCAGGATCCAGGTCCATGATGGATGAATCATACTCAATGCCTTCCTTTTCCTTCTCAGCCAATCCCTTTTTGATTTGTTCAGGAGAATAGGTTGCATGATCGGTCTCGATGACGACAAAGGATTTGGTAGCAGGATGTAAGACGAATTTGCGAGGCGTGTACTTCAATGGAATGGCCACCTGATTGAAGATCTCTCCAAGCTTTTCAACGGTAAAGATGCGCAATGTATTGCCTGCAACAGCCACAACACCTTCGGGGCATTGTTCACTGACAAAATCACTGCCGGATTCCAACATGTCATAGCTGAGAGGTGTCAAATGTAATCGATTCTGGAAAGTATAGGTGATCCATGGCTTTGTTGAAAGTGCCAATACTGCTGGTCGACCTTGTACTGTAATTCGGAAAAGCTGTACACTACGAGCGCCAAGGAATCGAGTGCGAGGATCAGATAATTGGCCAGTGATTGTGTCAAGGATGGTACGCATGAGGATGCCATTTGAAAGACCAATGTTGAGATATTGAGTACCATGACCCCTTTCAGTGCCCTTGTCAAGCAACTCAATGATACAAAGACTGGAAGGAACACCTTGCACAGCTTGCATAGAAATGGATTCAAGGCAACTATCAGGATCGAGGCTCAAGATACGCACCGTTTGATCATCACAGCCGATTGCGAGATGTCGTGATCGTTGTCGACCTTCTGGGACGTCGCCAATAGAAAGACAAGTGATATTGGATGCCATTTGCTTACGCTCTTGATGCTCATTCAATTGATCCATATTGTCAAGCTCGAAATAAACGATTTCTCCACCTGATAAAGCAATGGCAACTTGTCGATTGTTGGTAGCTGCATTGGTAATAACTTGACCACCAGGTGTCCTCCACTCGTTGACTCGCTTATCAGCTCGAATATGTCGAATGCCCTGAGGATGTACTTGAATGATCGCATCTTCACCAAGTTGTTGAACTGCAAGTGTAGGGGCTGTTGTCAACAATCCTGTATCAGTGACTTCTTCCACAGTCTCGCCAATCGAGAGCACCAATGTTGCATTAGCGAATGAAACAACGATGTATGCATGATATTCATCGCTTTGTCGTAGCTTTGTCGTCCATACGGCACTTGGATTACCAGGTAATTCACTGACAGCAAGTTCAGCAGCCTCCAAACCCTGATTAAGGATACGCATAGATGAACGTGCACCACGACCCGATAAACCATAAATTCGAGGAGATTCTTCATCAGCAAGATTGTACACCTTAGCATCCATAAGCGGCGCCATTGACTCCAATTCGTCAACAAGTAAAAGATTCTTCAAGGGTCGTGGCGTGTAATACACCAAAGGAATCTCATCTTGTGCTTGTTCTGCTTCCATAAAATCGGCTGAAGTGATCTCAGGGTCATCAGGGTCGTCACCCAAGCTCTCGAATGAATAAAGATGGCTAAACAGAAACACCTAGTCAATATCACATTCCTTATAGATGCACCTTTTATACTTACTGGTTACCAGCTTCACTTGCGGAAAAGAGAAAACCACTCTTGAGAATACACAATGATGATGCCACGGGGACAGTGTCGAAATACTTGATGGTCATTCCATGCACTTCACCTTCTGCATGCTCCATAGTGACCTTGAAGATGTCGCCTTCCTCCGTTTGAAGCAAAAAGAAGAATTGGGTCTGCTTGTTGACTTTCATCTTGTGTAAAGCGAAGGTAGAAATGATGACACCACGTGAGCTGTCTTCGAGAGGTTGTGCTCTGCGAGGAATAGGGATACGTTGCTCTGGCATATCTTGATGCTTGTAGGTGATGAAGTTTTCAGAACACACGAGGACACCAGAAGGACCATCATTGCCACCAGGCACTAAAGGAGTCATCATTTACAATTACCATCCAATCCTTTCCGATAATGCCATCACTTTGACTTACCAGGAATCAACATGTTGGATCTTGGATGCACTGGCTCACTCCACTTCCGCACAACGTGATTAAGGCCGAGATCCAATTCATAGTAGGTCAACAACTTTTCAGCACTCTTTGCAGCTTCACCGGTAGGATCCTGATCCGCCTCCGAATAATCCACTTCGAGACATGCAAATACTGGATTTTCAAAGCCGACATCCAAGCCAACGATATCATGAATCAATGCATGGCTTTTGTGTGCTTCGAGGGGTGATGAAATAGTCAAACGTGCAGCTGAATCGCGGTTGAGAATATACACGAGGCGTTGCTTCTCGAGAGCACCAATCATGACAGCACGACCTTTAGGATCTGTTGCAAGATATTGACCAGGAACGATACGTCTGCTGCCGGTCTTGCCATAAGTCTCTTGATGAACCTTATCAAAGACGTTCTTTGCTGGATTGTATTCCAAAATGACGATGCGGCCCGAATCGGATCCCACTACAACGTAATCTAGAATATCGTATGATCAATACACTGCCAAACTAGATATGGACGTGTCCTATACATACCTTTACTGCCACCAGTCAATCGAAAGGGTGCAATGCGTCGAATCAATCCAAAGACTTCGTGTGTAAGAATCGTGTGCGTCTTTCCACTGTTGGGATCAGGTCTAAGTAGCTCAAGGCGGCTGTTGCGTGCAACAATGATTTCCTGTTGCTTTGTGCCGGAAAAGTTGCCATGGATCGCCTGGTTGATGGCCGATGTGGGGCTGACCGTGAGATTGTACAAGAACATGGCTTCGGACGTCCCAATAGAGAAACGGAGCAGCAGCAGCAGGAGCTGGAAAGAGCGAGTGTGGTTGAGTTGGACATCCAATGTGTCGTGCAAGTCACGTAGATTATGGCACATCCCACTTGACATGATATCCAAAAGGATGCTTCCCTCCATCCCATGCAAGGTGGCTAAACTAAGAAATGCTTATACAATCATGACTATCCACTTTATTCAACTTCTCTATGTAAATTCATATCTTTCACTTAAAGAGATTCTCATTTTTTACATGACGTACATAATACATTTGGACAAAAGGCATGCATTGCTGTTTAATGAAACGGGGGATCCTATACAAATGGTAACAAGAAAAAGTGTTCGCTACTTGAATCTTATGATGATAATGATGGTGAAATACAAGGTCGTTGTCTTGGAATCTTAGCCTCGGCAGTCTCCGAATGCTATGGGTTATGGAGGAGTGATTAGCATACATACATATGGATGATCCTCAATCGGTCCAAAGTTTACCTGGGAAACCGCATACTGATGCAGCAATAAAATATGCAATAAGCTACATAGAAAGACTCAACAATGAGTATAAAGATGACTATGGTATTCCTAACAAAGGTCACTTACGAAGAGTAGTACGCCAATCATGATCATGAGCTTGGTATTCTTCCACCACATTGCACGCTACGCGACACATGTACAGGATTAATCAAAGTACGTTCATCTTTGCCATCCACAACAGGTACCTTCAATTGGGTGCTTCTCTTCTTGAAAGCGAATGCTTGCTGATTGAGGTTATCGGTCTTGTCCACTAAAAGTTCAATACGCTCGCCACGTTCAAGTACGCGTTCTAGATGAACATTCGCTTAGTAGCTGCCATGATGTCGATCGATTTCCTTATCCCCCTATCCAAATTACCAATATTGTGCACCATCACATCCTTCACTTGCTCGATCTCTCCATGGACTTGCTTCAGCCTATCGGATCCTGCATTGGACGAAAAGTATTCCTACATAGATGATATCCGTTTTAACACCCAATGATCCCATCCATCTCAACAATCCCTTTACCATTTGCTTCGCCAACACGCGAGAAAACTCATTCAAGCCATAGGGAGTACGAGCATTCAGAACTCGATCCTTGCCGTAGGTTGATAGAAACTTTTCTTTGACATCTTGAAGAAAGGCGAATGGGATACGACGACCAAATGAATTGTCTGCCATGCACATGTACGTGATACCATCCTCGCAAATGTAGTGGAACAAGTAGCTGCAAAGGTAAACCACCTTAGTTGGCTATATCGAATGCTATTCCTGCTTTCTGTCACCGTTACCTTCCATAGACATAGGTCAACTTTGAGTTGTTTGGAGGTATCTTTTCGAGAATGGCTTGGGTGACTTGAGAGAGAGAAAGAGAGAGAATGGCTGCATTCAGTTGCTTGGACTTCTTGAACCGAATTCGAATGAACCTTACCTTGTCCATAATTACCGCTACTGTTTGAATGCTCGGCTAGAATGACTGCTTGGTGTGCAATGACAGAATAGATGAGTGACATTGTTGGTTTGGGTAAAAGGAAAAAGAGAAAAAGAAAGCAAAAGGAAGGTGGCGGAAAGCAAGTAGAGAGCGATGCTGCTGTGATCCATGTAGACCTTACACAAACAGGGATGCAAGTTGTCAACAACGTCCACAGGCTCAAACGAATACCATCCTCTAGCCTAGAGCTGTTGTTGTATAATCCAACATGTTGCATGCCATATATCTTGCTTCGATAGTTGTATCAATAAACTGCTTTGATTCATGCACACACACCACGCAAGTGCAAAATTTCGAATACCACACACATCAATTTCAGATAGCGAGTGCCACAACAGCGTGCAGCTGCTCCTCAATTGTTTACACAACCCAAAAAGTGCTTCATATTGTGACCCAGTCCACATGATTTTGATAAGTACAAGAAAGATGTTATTCGTATTCACAAGTAAGGATATTATACAAGAGATAGTAATGATAGGGTATGTACAGAGAGGATATTTACAATAGTAGTGGGGGTTGGTATCTTTAAAAATCAGGGAATTGGGAACGATAAGGATCGGCAAAACGCATTTGCCCATAAGTCACCTCGGCAGGCTCTTCAAAACGAGCAAAGCAGGATGTATCGGAAGCAGAGGAAATCTCGGGGCGGAAAGGAGGTTCAATGTTGCGTTTGAGGACTTGCTCAAAATCCAAGCCTTGGAAAAAGGGATGAGACTTGATATCATCGATCGAGTGATGGCCCAAACGCTTTTCAGGATCAGGTGTCAACAATCCTTGTAATAGATCCTTGGCTTCGGGGCTCATATCTTCTGGCCATGGGACACGGCATTCGAGGATCTTTTGGTAAAGCTCGATTGGGTGCTTGTCTTCAAAGGGAGGGCGACCCACGAGCATCTCGTAGATCAGCACACCCAAACTCCACCAGTCAACTGCCTTGCTGTATCCCTTGCTTTTGATGATTTCAGGTGCAAAGTAATCTGGAGTGCCACACACGGTCCATGTGACATCCGATACCTTCTTGGCAAATCCAAAGTCGACAATCTTGATATGGCCATCAGCATCCAAAAGGATATTTTCGGGCTTGATGTCACGGTAGGCAATGTCGCGTTCATGCAAGTATTCGAGTGCCAAAATGACTTCAGCTGCAAAGAAGCGTGCGGTCTTTTCATTGAAACGTTTATGCTCTCGTAGAATACGGAACAACTCGCCACCTTGTACATACTCCATTACAAAGAACAAGTGGCTATCGTCTTGAAATGTCTCAATCAAATTCACCAAGAATGGATGTGACACACCATGCAGGATCGATCGCTCATTGTTGATGTGATCCGTTTGACGCTTTTGTACAACGTTGTGCTTATCCATGGTTTTGATGGCGTAGTATCGGTTGTCAAGTCGATTTTGTGCAAGATGAACACGACCAAGACATCCAGTGCCAAGAGTGCGCTTTATCGTATAGTTGTCAATTGGGTTGCTTTGGCGTGTTGGTTTGACGATAGGGCTGGCAATAGGTGATGGAGGAACCGAAGTGGGAGGTGTGTAATCAGTTGCACGTGATTTTAGTGATGAGGCATCATCTAATTGATTATCAGGTTAGTTTCTTGCAATTAAAGATGTACAATCCAATTATCAGGTACACACCTTCAAGTGATAAGTTGCTAATGATCGAGGTACTACGGCTGCTGCTGCGACTGCGAATGGGTGAAAAGGGAATCGATATCCGTGGTACTGAGCGTTTGTGTTCTTTTTTGGATCTGGGAAAGTGAAGTATTGATTCAACGCCTCTTGTAATGATAGAATCCATGTTGTGAAAAGAATAAAGACAATGAGTTTTGTGCCGTTGGCACATTCTTGGGGCCGTTCTTTATATACTTCTTGTCATCTATCGATAAAATATGTTTCAATCAAAAAAATTTCAAACGCAGCACAAAGATCAAGCCTTGATAGAGAACTGCTTTGTCCCAAAAGTGATCGGAGTATCCATCCATGATATCATAGGCAACAGGGCCCGAAACAACTTTGCAGTGGTCTTTGAATTTTGATCAAGTGCAATCAGTGCCATCAATTCCTTAATTGTATCCATCTCGCAACCATCTTACTATTCAATGACTCAAATTGTTGATAGACAAAGTATGTAAAATGTTTCGTATTCATTGTGTTCGCTGTAATACAACCACGTCTACCGATTATGGTGAGAACTGACAGAATGCATGTTGTAAGACCTGTCAAAGGTCACTGCTATTTTAGGCAACCCATCGATCTAATTTTGCCTAATATTGAACCCTGTATGTTGCAGTCGTTCCAACATCAAGAACTTGAGCTTCGTTTCGGTGTCAATGGTAACTGAGGATATCATACATGCATTAACCAAAACAATAGTCGTACCTTTTTTCCATGGATACGCTACAAGGAGGCGATAACAACCCTAACACATACACAAATTAATCGAGCTCACACCTTGTTTTGGATCGCGTTCTGAATTCTTAGAGTCCCGTTTCAGGTACCAGGCTTCTCAATCGCTGTCTAGTAATCAATCTCGTGTTCGGCGCCTGAATGTGTCTTGATCAAGCTTTAACTAAAGCGTGGTGCACCCTCCATGTCGCACGTCATATCTTGAAAATCAAACTAACGCAAGCTCAAGAGCATGTGAGATTCGCAGCGACATAATGAGACGTACAGATAGGATCGACATCTTCCAAATGACAGATGCGCGAATAAGATTAGATGGATTAGACATATTATTAAATCACGTGGTGGAAGCAACAACAATGTGGCGTTGAAGGGCTCATGTGCAAATTTCCATGAATGATACAAAAAGAGTGCCTAGCATTGCAATTGCTATTGCAGAGAAAGCAATGATGGGCGTCTTGTAAACTCTAACAGCATAATCAAAGCAACACAGTCACCTTTCTTTGAAAGAGCAAGCATAACATGCGATGTCGGAGCCCAATACCATTATGGGTAATGATGCCTACTATGGATCATGTGACCTAAGAAGCGTGTCCCAACCCAACTAGCATACAAGATCCCGTTCAAAGGTTGGCAAATTCATTTTGTATTATAGTGGATTTATTATTATGACCCACATCTATCATTCATAAGGGGCATCGATTTCATAAACCTGATCGAATTACGCTAAGGGTGATGTGGTATTCATTATCGCCACAGGTATGCATTGGTGCTACGTCATGATCCCCGATTTCCCACCCAAGCTGAGCGTTCCAAGAGCATAGTTGTCTACAACCTCCTTTACAAATGGTCCAGCGACTGCAATGTGGTGGTTATTTCTTTTGCTCAACAATCTAAAGTTACATCGATGACACGAGAAGTGCAAAGGAACAAGTCATTTCAATCGTCGAGTCCTCCAGAGGAAGAAGAGTCTTCTTGGTCACCACCTTCACCGCCAAGAGCAAACCGTATACGGCCGTGAGTCATTCACTTTATTTCTCATACTTCCTATCTACTCACGACCCACCATTTACACTGCAGATGCACGCATTACCAAAGGTACTTTGATATTATCATGTTTCTTGGTGGAGCCTGTTACGCTGACACTATGTAAACTTAGACCCATGCTCAGTTTCAATGAAGTAAGGGACGAATTGATTATGCAACTTTATAGTTCTCTTATACAAGGATGATAGCGATTACGACGAGCACAAGAATCATCACCCATTATCCAAACGAGTAGTTTATCTATCAGTGACGGTGACGATGATGATGATGATGATGATAACAGCTTCATATTCAATGCCGATCCTTTCTTTGACACCAATTTGAGTTTACCACCGCTACGACTTGAATCACCTTCACCTCCGCCTTCTCCATCACCATCATCATCATCCCATTCTACAACCAATGATAATAATCATCGTCGACGACGACAACAACAACAACCAGCCAAATGTCCTGGCAGAGAAAAACCATCATGGATGGATATGGAACCACAGCGTAGTCGATCATCTCGAGGCAAAAAGAAGAAAAAGGAAAGGCAATCATCATCCAGCAAATCGACAAAGCCATCCTCGTCTTCCTCCACAGCACCTACAAAACCTTCCAAAGGAACCAAATCCATATCGGCACCGTCATCATCATCAACATCAACATCTACTGCTACAACAACTATTCCTACTACTATTACAAAGCAAAAACAGAGACCGCTGTCAGCTACCATTATACCCGCTTCTACTACGAACAATGATACATGGGCCGATAAGAGTCGATTACGTCCACGCACTAGCTCATCATTATCATCATCACCTCTCGCTAAACATGGACAACCATCGCACAATCAGACGAGTCATAAACCGCGCACCATCAAAGCAGGCCATTGCTAGACATTTGATCTTTTTGATATGATGTTGAATCAGGAAATTAAACTCGTTATTGGTTTTATTGAGGATGAGAGGCTGCTAATCCATTGTTGGATAATACATGTATGGATGGGAAGGATCACTTTGGGGTCTTGAATCATTTCACTCGGAGCAATAGGAAACATCACGATCGATAAGGTCAGGGATCTCACGTTTGACAGCATGATCCAGAGTATCTTTAAGTTCGTCGAAAAGGTCTTCAAGAGGAGCTGCGTGCACAAGAGCCATGGCGAGAGAAAGAGCGACAATGATAGTGGTAGTAAAATGCATATTACTTCTTGAGATGGATTATAAAAAGATGCTATATGCCTCGTCTGTTTTCCAAAATTTGGGTTTTTATACCTGTCAAAGTTAATCATTACTACATTGTTTGCATTCAGCCTACCTATCCCTTCATGTTGTTGTATCATTCACTCTCTCTTGTGATGCATATTCATCCAATCTTCCCTATGCTGGTTGACAGGAGAAAAAAAGAGTACACTAATTTCATGTGGCCCTTTAGTTTAACCATATACAATCAGCTGTGAGGAATGCAACATGATACCTTCACATCACATGATACCATTGATTGAAAATATTACTGCTGATCATCATTCTTATATCTATCCCTAAGGAGCGCTCAGGGATGATCGATTTAATGTGTATGTGTACAAAGGGATGATGCTATACCATTGGAATACTTCCATGCCAGAGATAATAAAGGGCTATAATATCCCCCGTCGGTTCATCGGCATTGGATACATTGTATAGAATCAGTGAGATGTAAACAACCATCGTCCACCTCCTTATCCCCGCCTGCTGGATAATGTCGTGAGCGAGCCAAGTGGATTTCATAGGATATGGCCCATTGTCCTGAACGTGTCAATCACATGCTGGTTGTAATTCATTGTTGTTTAACCAAGGTGTTGTATAGCATGCGTGTATGAATACAACAAAAAACAACGTTGCTGGGATCATCCATTTTAATTTATCGTCGCTTATAGCAAGTAATCTAAATATGTATGCAGGAGTTGTTCTTTTTGGAAAGTGTGCAGTAATAGTAAGGGAACCAACTAATCTAAATCACGTGTATTACGCCGTTATCGACAAGAAGATCGGGGAGGCGCGTTATACTCTTGAATGAGATCTTTGTTCAAGACACAATGAATCAATCAGGCCCTTTCTCTTACTCTCATTTTCCTTTATCACAACATCTATGAAGTGGGTATACTTCTTCAAAATACCTTTTTATCATACAATGCATCCAACACTTACACACGACGAGAGCCAACTCAGGAAGAAGGAAGATCTCTTACACTAAAAACATAGAAATAGTTGGCCAACAACGCAATCTCGTATTCGCTAAAGTAACCCTTTAATGCACATTGTTATTCTTCTAATGAGATAAAAGAACACGAGGTTGAGAGGTACAATGGATTGCTCCAATGGGGGAGATACATCGATATGGCAAGCTTCTATCCTTGGACCTACACTTTACAAAGGTGAATTAGACGCATTTAGCGCGTCAAACATGAAGCTGGGTGATGAAGATTTACATGGTTGACAGGTTACACAAAGGATGATGATTGTAGTTACCATGGCATTGGCTGTAAAGTACGATAAATGAGTACACCAATCGTCCACAATCATAACATCAAGGTCAAGTTGACAACGAATACAAAAGAACAAAAACCCTCTTTCCACTCACTGTATACATCCATTCCTTCCATCCCATGTACCAAACAATATTCAGATCCATATCCATATCCATAGGAATTCGTATGTATTAGAGCAAATTGCTACACGTGAATAAAGCTGCTTCTATGTAATGGCTGTCTGCTGTTCACGTAAAAAAGGCTGTAACGCAGGTTGCTGCAAGTAACTCGAAGACCGCGGAGTGGAGACCTTGCTAATAGCAGCTGCTGTTACGTTTGGTGGTGGTAATGTGCAAGAGCGTGTGTTGTAGTAGAGTGACAACGTTGTGAATGCCGTTTAAGGCAATGGAGTAAAGAGCTTGCTAATAACAACTGCTGGAATGAATGCTGTTACGATTGGTCGTGGCAGGGAAGCGCGCAAGAATGTGTGTTGTGTCAAGAGACTCCTGTGTTGTAGAAGAGTGACAAGAAGGATGTGTACACGCCATGGACTTGCCATTCAGTCAAAGACAATCGGATCAAGGCATTCGTAGGATTGACATGATGGGCTGAAGCAGGACAATCGTTCGTAGGTGGTAGTTGTACTTGGATGGGGCAACAGTTGAGAATGGGAAGAAGAGGGAAGAAGTTGAGTGAAAGAAGTGGAAATCATATATATCGGACACCTCTTGTATAAATGCATGTACACTGTAGGCATCAAAACTTGATACTGAGATTTCCCATCTCAAACCACAGACTTTCACACAAGATGCTCTTGGACATGCTGATCACGTTGATCTAAAAAGACATCATGTTTCATTTGAAAATTTGGAATGGGAGGGTATAATGTGGGTTTACTACGTAAGTCGGAAATGGAGGTCAGCGCCAGATTCATGTTTAATGGAAATAGTATGCATTACCTTGGGATTCCCCATTTCGAACCTGAAACTTTGTCAGAAGGTTCGCTGCAACATGCCGATCAACTTCATTCATTTAAAAACCATACACTTCATTAAGAATGTCTTGAATGCGGGGCGGCCCAAATGGTGGATGTGGGGAACAAAAGAGCGGACGGCCCACCGCCCCGAAGTTGCCCACCTCCAACTTGAAAATTGGTCAGAAGGGTGCTCTGAGCATGCTGATCAACATTTTTCTAATAAAAACTTCATACTTCATTTGAAAATTCGGAATGGGAGCGTCCAAAAGTTTGAAAGACGGAGACATTCGCAGGGCCTGCGATTCATTAATTTTCATGTTTGCAGTTCGAGCGTAGCTCAGTCAAATCGGCTCGGATCAAGAAACTTGAATGATGGAAATGCTCGGCTGGAGCAGGAGAAACGTTCACATGCAGTGGATTTTGCAACAACGCTGATTGTGAGGAAATGGCTGATAGCGCGCAATATATGGACTATTGTATATAGACCATAAAGTATATTCCTTCCATCCTTCCAGTCATGCAAAGTAGCTGAGTTACACAAAGAGGTCCTTCTGCATCTTTTGCTCTGCCAGGGTCCAGCTACTTCACAATGAACAAAGACCACTCTTCATATAGCATCATGCTTACAAACATAAAGGTGCCTGTATCTCCAAACTTTACAATGAAACGTAGGGTTTTTAATAGAGCAATGGGCTCAGCTTGGCCAACAGCACCTTGTGTGAAAGTTTCACGATCAATGTCGCAACTAGCCCAAAAAATATTTTTTTGGTCGTCGTCGTCGAAGAGGTCGACCTCCAGATCCAGTTTGGCTGGTGGCGACATTGCGAAATCTGGGATTGGCAAGCTTGATCGTGAAACTTTCACACAAGCGTGCAATTGTTGGCCAAGCCGAGCACATTGCTCTATTCAAAAACCCGCGTTTCATTGTAAAGTTCGGAGATAGAGTACCTTTATGTTTGTAAGCGTGATGCTATATGAGAAGTGGTCTTTGTTTAATGTAAAGTATCTAGACCCTGACAGAGCAAAAGATGCAGAGGGTCGTGTTGTGCAATACAGCTACGTTTGCATGAATGAAAGGGTCAATGTATAATTACTTTATGGATCATCTAGGAACAGGCATGTATTGCTAGTTAACGGCCACTTTATCCAGTCATCATTGCTGCGAGGATCCATCGTATACCGATGCCCCTGCTCTAGACATTCATTTCCATGGTTAAAGTAAGTTGGATTCGAGCTGATTTGACTGAGCTGCGGTCAAAGAGAGATTACATCACTCTGGACATAGAGCACGCTCGATGTAGCTCAACTGATGTAATCTTGTGTGAGCATAACTCAAATCCGGGGCTCGGATCAACCTACTTTAATCACGGAAATGAATGTCTAGAGCAGGAGCATCGTCCACCTATAATAGAATGCACAAAAGTTGGGAATGCACAAAAGTGGCTATTAGCTGCCAATGTATGACATAAAAGTGAGGGTTGCGTACCCGTCATGCATCGTCCCTGAGGTCCGGACTTTTTAGCTCAGCTACACAAAAGAGGTCCTTCTGCATCTTCTTTGGCTCTCCAGGGTTCATAGATACTACATTAAACAAAGACCACTTGTCATATAGCATCATGCTTACAAATGATAGCAGCCTGTATCTCCTGAATTTTACAATGAAACATGGGATTTTTATTAGAGCATACAAGCTGCTCTAGCACCTTGTGCAGTTTCACGATCATTGCCGCACTACCCAAAAAATATTTTTTGGTCAAAATGTTGTCGAAGAAAATCATCTAGCTGGTGGCGACACAGAAACTTTCGGGATTGGTAAGCTTGATCGTGAAACTTTCACACAAGGTACTGTTGGCCAAGCCGAGCACATTGCTCTATTCAAAACCCCACGTTTCATTGTAAAGTTTGGAGATACAGGCACCTTTATGTTTGTAAGCACGATGCTATATGACAAGTGGTCTTTGTTTAATGTAAAGTATCTAGACCCCTGGAGAGCCAAAGATGCAGAAGGACCTCTTGTGTAGCTGAGCTAAAAAGTCCGGACCTTTGTGGACGATGCATGACAGGTACGCAACCCTCACTTTTATGTCATGCTGACTGGCAGCTAATAGCCACTTTTGTGCATTCCCAACTTTTGTGGAGTTCTTTATTATAGGTGGATATTTCAGCGACATTCATTTCCGTGATTAAAGTGCAGGTTGATCCGAGCTGATTTGGTTGAGTTATGCTCACACAAGATTACATCGGTTGAGCTACATCGAGCGTGCTCTATGTCCAGAGTGATGTAATCTCTCTTTGACCGCAGCTCAGTCAAATCAGCTCGGATCAACTTACTTTAACCATGGAAATGAATGTCTAGAGCAGGGGCATCGGTCCCATGCAGTGGATCTCGCAACAATGATGACTGGATAAAAGTG